AAAAAACTTTGGGTAAACAAACAGCAAAAACACAAACTATGAGATTTCAGATGCCAGGATCAACCCTAAGTGTGTATAAAAATGTAGAATCCAGAAATTCCTCTGGAAAGTTGAGAGGCACAGCTGGGTACTTCCCTTAGGCAGCTAGAGTCTCTGCATCCTTAGCTGTTGCAAGCTTCAGCAAGCAACCACATAATCTTGATCTAAACAGAATAAACCCAGCTCCGAGAGATGAAGGCACAGTTCGGGCTTTATGTCTCTGGGGACCCCAGCCCAACTTTAGCATCCTTCATCTTCTAGTCTCTGAAAGTATCTATGCCTTTACAAGGACTTGATGTTTTGGTGGCAAGCAGTTAAGATTAATCAGGTCCTTAGAATGTGCTGGTCACCATCTCAGCCTTTTCGTCTTCACTCACCTAGGATTTGAGACATGGAGAACAAGAGGAGTTCATCTGTCTTTGTGTAGATTGTCTGACATAAGTACGGGTTCATTTTTATTGATTAATTTTGTTTATGACCTTCCAGACAATGTTCTTCTGTTCATACCTTTTATTTGTAGGAGAGTGGGAATAGATATACCTTTAAGTCCAGAAAGAACTGTTGAATGAAGAGTTAATGGACTAGGAGAAGGAATCTTACCAGCTATAAGTTGGTTAGTATATGAAGTGTCCACTTTATGCAGAGAACTAAGAATAAAATCATGAAGGTACTGAATTCAAGTACTCCCAAACAAGTAAGAGGGTTCCGCAACTGGGTTATGAATGCTTATTAGGGGAATATCTGGGCATAGATAATCAAAGCCTAAACATTTACACCATGGCTTCAAAATGTGGGTATACACCAAAATCAGCTGGAGCTACTTAAAATAGAAATCTCTGGTCTTTATCTCTGGATTTGCATTTAGTGGATCTGGAATGGATTGAAAATTGTGTTTTCATGAAACTGACTCAAAATACGAGCAAGATTAGGATATTTTTCCACCTTGGCACTTTAAAAGTCTCCCTTAAAAATGTTTTTATTTATGTTTGTGTATATGGGTGATTGCCCACAGAGGCCAGAAGAGGGCATCGGATCTCTTAGAGCTGGAGATACAGGTAGTTGTGAGCTGTCTGTAGTGAGTACCAGGAATCAAACTTGGGTCCTCTGGTAGAACAACTAGTGTTCTTAACCACTGAACCATCTCTCCAGCCCCACTTTTAAGAATCTGTTATGTGCTTTTACAGGGAAATCAGGCTGTACATATTCTACATAGACCTATTTGCATCATGTATTTTGTTCATGTGTCTAGTTTTTGAGCTTCCTTGGATTCTGTTACACATGGAGTCACACCCCATTTTATATGCTACTGAACTGTGATAAGGATTTTTTTCCACTGTTAGCTTCTTAGATGAAATTTGGTATTATATGAATAGATACCATTGAATTTGGACCTTTCTATAGTTGACTTTTTAAAATATGCTTTTAGTTAAATGTTCTCAATACTATTTTTAATCATACCTGTATTCAGTTCTGGTTTGTGAAGCATAGAATTACAGAATCATATAGTTAGAGCATTAGACTCTAACTGCCAAACTGTTTCTATAGTAGCCACATCCACTTCCACCAGCAGCATAAGCGATCCAGCTTCACCATACCCTCCCCAATCCTTCTTTCTTTCAGGGGGAAGGAGCTTGCTAGGGATTGAGGTGGGGGTCTCTTCTACTGAACATTTGCCCTCAATCCTGTGTCTAAAGATTGATTACAGACTCTAGCCATTTTACTAGATGAGACATAGGCTCACATGGGTGGTTTTGGTATGCATTCTCTAATGAGTAACGATGCCGAGCATGCATCCATGTACCCCTTGGACATCTATGTGTATACCCTCTTTGGGGATCTGCCTATTCAAGTTGTTATCACCCTGAGTTTTAGACCTTTTGTTGTTGATTCTGTAGTGTTCTGAATGGAAGTCAATTGTCAGAACACTTAAAAGTGCTTCCCCCGTTCTGTGGGTTGCCATTTGCAGTATAAAGTTTTACATTTTAATAAGGTCTCGGTTTTCTCTTTGGCTGAGAGTGCTTTTTGTATAATTTTTGTTTAAGAAACCATTACCCACCCAGAGTCATGAAGACTTACTTCTGTATTTGCTTTAGAGATCTTTGGTTCATTTTGAGCTAATTTTCATGAGTGGTGTTAGGTAGTCATTCGTCTTCATTCATCAAAAGAATGAAGCTGTCCCAGTATCATTCACTCTTTCCCTTTGCATTATGTAGACACCTTTGTCAAAAACTGATTATGTGTAAGGTTCTGGTCCTAGGTCTGTTTTACTGATTTTGGTTTGTTAAACATTTGTACTAGTTTAAAAAAGTATCTCCAAAAGTGATTACTTTTCTAAATGAGTTTTTCTTTTTATCTTTTGATAAATCAATAGGCAATTACAATTACCAACTTACTTGTTCTAAAAAAATGTATATGCTGTTTTAGGTAAAAACTTTTGAATTATATGAAATTTCAGGCATTGTGCAATAGCTCTGGAGTAATTTAAAATGTTTGTCCCATTCACATTGGCATTATGCACACCGAGGAACTCCTGGAAACAAAACCCCAAAGTGGCAGAATTTAGAGAAGTGTGTGGTTGCACTGTGAGAGGCTGTGTTCTCTCGAAGAAGTGCTGCATTCTGAACACCAGACACTACTTGTTAAAAACTACAGGAGAAACTCTCTGAAAGTGTTAATGATTCTGCATTTTCTATTTCCTAAAAACATACATTTTCTGCACACCTTTCCATCGCTGCTTTATTTTGTGTTCTTGGCATGCAAAGAGAACACTTTCCAGAAAGGCAGCATTAGTGTCTTATCATCCTTCTGCTACATGTGCACGCTACTAAACAAGGAGTCCCTAGCCTGCTTGTATTGTGTGGAAATGCTTCTTCATGTGCACTAGGCCATACTTTGCTCTTGTTCACTCATCTGCAGCCACCATATTGTAGATATCGAGCTGATGGTTTTTGTCATTTAGGAATCTTTGTCTGAAGTAGAAGAGAAATACAAGAAGGCCATGGTGTCCAATGCCCAGCTGGACAACGAGAAGAACAACCTGATCTACCAGGTGGACACCCTCAAGGACGTTATTGAAGAGCAGGAGGAGCAGATGGCAGAGGTGTACAGAGAAAACGAAGAGAAATCAAAGGTAGCTGTTCATCTTGTATACCCTTTTCTTGGTTCAGAAAATCAAAGCCTAGCATTTAAAGAAGATGGGCTTGGTGGGAAACTTCAGAACTGAGTAGTCTGAGAAATTAATTAGTCACTGCCTTATCAATTGAAATTTTTTTGTTTTCTGAAGGAAAACTTTTATCCTTTTTTAAGTTTTTAAAAACTAGATTACAACTCAAGTATTATTCTTTTAATTATGACAATGACATTAATTTGCTTCTTTCTTTCCATTTTAAATGGAACAACATAGAGCTTAGTGAGATAGGGAATTTTTCCTGTGAACTTCTAAGTTCTCTAAAAGATTCCACTTCCAAATAACCACTTAATTAGAAGCAGCGGTTTAAAGACGTGAGTCAGGAACTGAGAGATGTTTTCTTGAGAAGTTACATACAGTTGGAGCACAAAGGCCACTGTCTGAGTGCCAGGTCTGCCCTTGGGCAACTGCGGCAAAGAAGCTGGGTTCTAGTAAGAGTTGATTGGACCTGGACATTTTAAAGTGTTGGTGTCTAAGCAGAGAATAAATGGATATTACTGCTAGAGATTAGTTACTGCTGTATTGCCAATATAGAAGAAAAAAGTAAAAAAACAGTTTAGGAAATATGTATTGGTTGAATTGTTGGAAACAGTCAATTGTACATAGTAAAAGGAATAACAAGTTGTATAAGTGTTTGATGAACTTCCATAGTAATGGTGTCCAGTGTAGGCTCACTGAACTGAATTTACTGCTCAGGTGTGAACATTAGTGACATGTAGGAGAGACTGCAGTTATGAGGACAGGAGATATATGGAACTCAGTTTCCTCTGTCTTTCTATGAATCTACAGCTGTTCTTTAAAGGCCTATTTGAAAATGCTGCTGGGGTGTAGATGTGTGAAAATAAGGTATCTTTCATGTTAGTCAGGATGGCCTTGAAGAGGATGCTGTGGTGACAGTGAGTGCTTTACTCTTTGGTATTCTGTCCCAGAAACCAGTTTTGAGGTTCTGAATCATCATCTTTGCTTGTTCCAAACTGATGGTACCTCTTGCAATAGAATGCCCATCTGCACAGAACCCATAGAGGCCAGCTTCTCTGATGTACTTCATTATGGTAGCAGATGCTGAGAGCTCTGTACATCAGCATTGTTAAAGTTGTCACCAACCCTGGAACCCTGAGTTCAGTTCTCAGGACCTGTGTGGTGGATGGAGTGGACCAATTCTATGAGTTGTGCTCTGACCTCCATTTTTTCTAATACACAAATAGTGGGGAAAAAAAAAAGTGTGTGTGTGTGTGTGTGTGTGTGTGTGTGTGTGTATACATATTTGTTTTTTTAATACACAAATAGTAAATATATATGTATTGGTTTTTTAATACACAAATTATATATGTGTGTGTGTGTGTGTGTGTGTGTATATATATATATTGGTTTTTGGGGACAGGGTTTCTCTGTGTAGCTTTGGGCCTTTCCTGGATCTCACTCTGTAGACCAGGCTGGCCTTGAACTCACAGAGATCTGCCTGGTTCTGCCTCCTGAGTGCTGAAAAGGCGTGTGCCACCACCGCCTGGTGTAAATGTATATTTTTAATTTAAAAATGTTTTTAGTTCTTGTCGGTATCATAATAAGTGCATCTTTTATTTATTCATTTTCTTTAAGTTTTTGTTTGGAGACAGGCCTCATCCACCCAGGCTAGCTTCAAACTTGCTAAGTAGCCAAAGATGATCTTGAGCTCCCGTGCCTCTTGCCACACCAGTGCTCGATTTCAGTTGGCACTGCCGTAGCCAGCTTATTGGCTCCGTCTTTAAACATGTCTCCGTGTCTGTTAGCAGCAGAGCACCTGACTGGGAATGTGTGGAACATATTCTCAGGGTTGGGGACATAACTTAGCTGATAGATGCTTGGACACCTCGCCCCTGTGTAAAAGCCTGGCAGGGCAGCACATATCTGTGACCACAGTGCCGGGGAGTCACAGATGAGTGGGTCCCTGCAGCCCACTGGCCAGCCAGCCTAATGCAATCGATGAGATGAAGGTGGACACCAACTGAGAAAGAGCCTGACATTAACCCATGGTCCTCTGCACATACATGCAGGTACATCCATTCATACATGTGCACACCATAAACATTAATACTTATTTTAATAAGAAATTAGCTTACTGACATTTAAAAACATGTTATTATTCTGTGGTTAAGCATACTTGCTGTTCTTCATGGGGACCCAAGTTTAGTTACCAGCACCCACATGAGGTAGCTCACAACTACTTGTAACTCCAGTTTCGGGGTATCTGACACATGCTTCTGGCCTCTGTAGGTACCGGCATGTGGTACACATACATGCATACAGATATTCACACATACACACAAAATAAAAATAAGTCTTTAAATTTTTTATTGATTTTGAACACAGAAGAAGTATGAAGAGACTCTAATGAGTCCATCAGCTTCCCATTGCTACTGTCGACCCATAGTTAGCATGCCCTGTCCTTTTCCTGTACTCTATATTAAATTCTAGGCATCTAATTTTAGTAATTAATCTTGACAGACTACATATTGAAAAACATGCAGTGACAAACATTTCAGGGGCTGGAGGTGGCTAAGCAGATAAAGTCCTTGTCATACAAACTTGAGGACAGGAGTTTAGATCCCTGGCAACCCTGCAAATACCAGGAGAACATGGCAGACCACTGGTAATTGTGGGAGGCAGAGACGGGAGAACTGGAGTAAGCTGAGTAGGGAGACCAGGTGAATCAGTGAGCTCTGGGTTCAACGAGAGACTCTGCCTTGATATAAAAGGTGAGAGAATGAATACCTGACATCTGCTGCAGCCTCCACACACACTTGCTCATCTGACACCTGTGAACATGTGCCTGTGCACGCTCATGCTCTCTCTCTCTCTCTCTCTCTCTCTCTCTCTCTCTCTCTCTCTCGCACGCGTGCACGCACGCACGCACGCATGCACGCACACACACACACACACACACACACACACACACACACACACGCACAACCAGTTCACACTTGAAAAATTACTATCAACTCCTTTATATTATATACCCAGTCACTGTTAAAATTTTAGTAGTTTTAAAATGCCACACACAATTTTCCTTTTTTTATACTTAGAAATCAGAAGCTAGCCATGGTTGTGCATATTGTAATCCTAGCACTTGAGAATCTGAGACAGGAGGATCATGAATTTATGGCCGGCTTTGGTTACACTGAGAACCTTTCTCAAAACAAACAAAACCAGAAGCTGGGTATAGTGGCACACATCTTTACTCCTAGTGCTGGGGACACAGAGTCAAGAGGGCATTTGTGAGTTTGAGGCCAGCCAGAGCTGTACAGTGAGACCCTGAGACCTTGTGTCATCCCCTCTCCACCCCACAGCCTCTCCCAGCCACACCCTCCCAGGATCCAGATAAGTTCCACACTTTGAAATGAGTTGTTGTGTTTTAAGACTCATAGTTAATAGGTTCCCTTTCCTCCCTCCCTCATCCAGTGTAGATATCGAGGAAATTTGATTGCCTGTCCCGAGGCTTGCTGTTCTGAGACACGTTGCCTCCTCATTCCAGGGCATTGTTCCTGGGCCCCGGCTCTTTGGTTCCTGTGAGCAGGCTGTTGGTGTAGAGATGTCACCAGATGTAACCGGAGCCTGCTCTAGGAGTGTGCTTCTTCCTCCAGAGTCCCCGGAGCTGCTTGTCGTTCCAGGGTGTCTGATGCCCTTTCCTGGCCTCCACAGTCACCAAGCAAGTGATGCACAGACATCTATGCAGGCAAAACACCCATACATATAAAATTTAAAAAATGATCCAATTCATATACAGCTTCCCATTTAAAGTCTATGATTCAGTGGAGTTTAGGATATTCACATAAATGTGCTTCTATCACACCCACAGAGAGTATTTTCATTCTCCCAAGTAGAAGCTGAATACTCCCTACCCATCATTCTCCTGTACTTGATCCCCTGGCCTCAAGTAACCACTGACCTTTGTATCTGTGTAGATTTCCCCATTCTAGACTTTGATATTAACAAAATCATAAAAGGAACTCGTTCAGGATTGTCATCTTACACCTAGTGTAGTAATACCGCGTCACCCGTGCTGCAGCACACACAGTTCTTCATTTCTCTGATGGCCTGTTAATATTCCATTGTTAGGGTAGCCACATGTGTTGGGAGGTCCAGCAGCATTAATTGATATTTGGGTTTTTGTTCCCTTTGGCCTTTTATAAAAAAGGCTGACATGAACATCGTGTACTTTTGTGTGGACACTGTTTTCCTTTGTCTAGATACATAGGAGTGGGATTGTTGGGTCCTCTAGCACGAACTCTGTGAGGCGGAGCAGACTTTCCAAAGCAGTGTCAGCGTTTCAGTACATTTTACTGGCTACACTCTTTGTCCACAGCCTCTCCAGTGTTTACTACTGTCTGCCTGCCACGTCTAGCCATCGTAGTGGCTTTGATCTGCATTTGTTTGATAAAAACACTGGTTTCTAGTATCTTTTCATGGGCTTATGCTTTATCTTGAAATCGCCCATTTTAAAATTTTTATTACTGTTATAAAACTATATTTCAGATATAAGTCACTTACCAGTAACTTACAGATATCTTCCACCATTTCTGTGGTTCTTTTTAACTTCTTTTTTTTTTTTTTTTTTTGAGACAGGGTTTCTCTGTGTAGCTTTGCGCCTTTCCTGGAACTCACTTAGTAGTCCAGGATGGCCTCGAACTTACAGAGATCCGCCTGGCTCTGCCTCCTGAGTGCTGGGATTAAAGGCGTGTGCCACCACCGCCCGGCCCTCTTTTTAACTTCTTATTCTTTGTTTATTAGCTTATGGCATCTTTTTTTGTCTTTTTATCATGTCCATCTTTAAAGAGGATCTTCATCTTTCATTACCTTGATAGATAATTTGCATAGTTTTGGAAGTCAAGATAAAGACTCCTTTGCTTTTATAGTTTCAAAATAAGGAGTTGTTATGCCCTCACAGTGACCAATCGTCTTCATCAAAAGTATCTTTATGAAGCTGAATTCAGTGTTGGGTGTGACAGCTTTTGTTCCTTTGGAGGCTCAGATTTTGCCACTTCTGGCTATTGTGAGCCTCTTCTGGGCTGATTCTCAAGTTCTTTGGGAGGCTCACTGAGAGCCTCCATGCTTTCTGACAGAAGAACATGCTTTGGCCTTATCTTTGGATCCATCCTTTGTCCAAGCAGTCCTCTATCTCTTCCCACGGGCCTGGCCTGCTCTTGCTGCTCAGTCGATCATTTCGTAGGCCCCTTAGTGGAAATAATGTATGTGGGTTTTTTTGTTTGCTTACATGACAAAATACATTGTGCTGTGATGGTTCAAGTTTATATTTATGACTCTAGGGATTGTCCTCAGTCCCTCTGTTCTCCATCTCCTTTGTGCCACGCAACTTCTAATCCTTCCTGCTTTATTCCAGGTCACTCAACAGAGCAAGACTAGGTCACACCAGCGTAGTTACCGAAAGGAGTCATAGTGTTTGGCTTGGCCTTTACTCAGGGACAGAGGCGATGCATAGCCAACATACGTTTTTTAAAAGTTACTTGGAATAGTTTAATTTTTTTTAAAAAAAAATTATTATGGTAAAAATCATACCACAATAAACTTAGCATTTTAGCCATTTTAAAGGGTGTCATTCACAGTAGGATGTTATATATATTTATATTGTGTGTGAAATCTGTACATTTTATCTTGCAAAAGTAAACTCTAAACAGTTAAATAAATAGGGACATTTGACCCTTTCCCAAGCCCTTAGCAGCCTCCATCCTGCCTTCTTCAGTATGTGACTGACTTATAATACTTACATGTAGTCCCCAATGCTCGTGATAAGAGTTCCTTCTTTCAAAGGCTGAACACTGTTCCCGTGTCTCTGCTGCACTTTACCCATCCGCTCCTCTTTGCCAGGTATTTGGGTTGTTTCTAATAGAAACTGGGCTTTAAATTGCCTGACTTAGGTAAAAATAGGTAGATATGAAGTCAAAGGAAATGAATTCAGTTTGTCTTTCCTCTCATCCTCATTTCCCTCTTTCTTTGGAGGAATTCTTTTTTATTTTTCTTCTATTTTTTTAAAGATTCTTTCCTTTTATTTAGTGCATGTCTGTGTGCCACATGCATGCCTGGTGCTTGTGTAGGTCAGAGGAAGGAACTGAATTCTCTGGAACTAGAGTTAGAGATGGCTGGGAGCCACCACGTGGGTGCTGGGAACCAAACTCAGGTCCTCTGCAAGAGCAGCGAGTGCTCTTACCCGCTGAGTGATCTCTCCAGCCCCAGGAAATTCTTTTTAAGTTTAGTGATTCATCCTTTATTTTTATAAGCCAAGAAGATATGTTAGCCAATGTTGATTAAAAACACACACAGCATTTGAAATGCATCTAAACACATGTGTTTGTGGCCCTCCTTTCTTAGAAAATAGCAGCACACTGTAAATGCTGTTCTGCTTGTAACACACAGATCTTCACTCCTTCCCACGCTCTGCCTATTCCGTTGTGCAGACACTGCTCCACTAGACCCAGTTTGTGGACGTGCTTGCTGTCCAGAAGTCAGCCTGCAAAACAAGGAGCTGCTTGGATGTTCTGTGGTTTTATCAGTGTCTCTGTGATAGAGAGCCGTGGCGGGTAGATCCACGGAATTCTCTTTTGTAAGCCACGGGTGACGACACACTACTGTGTGTTTCTCTCCCTTGAGCATGTTTTACAATGGAGCTGTTCCTGTCTCGTTTTCTGGGCTTTAGCCTGGTTTTCCATGTTGTCAGTGTTTTGTGTTCTTGTTGTTATTTTATTATCTTATTTTAGGTGTTCTCCAAATGGAAAAATAGCAATAAATCTTTGTCCCAGAATATAAATTATAATTTCTTGTGTAGCTTGTCATTCCTATCTTTACTTTGTGGTATCTTTTGCTATTCTAAAAATTGTAATTTTTATGTGGTCTCTTATCCCACTTACCCTTTACTGGTTTTGGATAATGGAATCATTTAAAATAGTTTCCTCTACTCTGCAGTTACTCATTTTTAAGAGGTACCTATAAGTTGCTGTCCCTTCTGCTGCCTTTCTTGCCCTTATCAGACAGGATGGAGATGGAGAGTGTGACCCTTTCTACCAAATGCAAGTCATTCATGCAGGCCTGGGTCTGGAAGCCAGACTTGGTCTCGGTGCTAAATTACATATGTTCGGCTTTGTAGCCCTTGACTTTATAACAATATCATTTGCTTAATAACAGGAGTTAGAAAGGCAGAAACATATGTGCAGTGTGCTGCAGCATAAAATGGATGAACTCAAAGAAGGCCTTCGGCAGAGAGATGAGCTCATTGAGGTATGTATTTGAACTGTGGAAATACTTAATTTTGAAAAATAGATGAATTGGATAGGGTGGTGGTGTGTTTATTGGGAGAATACAATTCTGTAAAGCAGTGGTTCTCAATTTTCCTAATGCTGTGACCCTTTACTATAGTTCCTCATGTTGTGCTGACCCCAACCATAACATTATTTCATTGCTACTTCAAAACTGTAATTTGCTACTGTAATATAAATATCTGTGCTTTCTGATGGTCTTAGGCAACCCCTGTGAAAGGGTCTCAATCCCCAAAGGGGTCCAAACCTACAGGTTGAGAATTGCTGCTATAAAGAGTTTACTTATGTAAACATTTGTCTCTCTCAAAAATTTTCTAACATGAAATATAAAGGCAAGTTTAAAGAGTGAATGCTTACACATTCTATAAAATCCCCCCTTTAATAGCAGGATTTTTCACCAGTGTCTTGTATTCTTAAGCACTTTTCCCTGAAGATATCATGAGATGTTAGAAAAGGAAGCAGTATAGGGTCTATTCTTTGGGTCCTAGTGCATGGCATCCTGTGGGGCGTGATTCTTGAGGAGTAAGAATCTTGATCTCCACTCAAGTTGATGCATTCGAGGTAGCTGAAGAAAAGGAAGTTGTCAAGGTCTTCCCCTTGTATTTCAGCACCTCAGCTCTCTGTGGCGGAGAAGCTTTGTACCACACTACAGCATCCCAGTGTCAAGGACGGTGGTCGGCCGCAGTGCAGTTCACGCACCGCCCTGCTGTGGTTGACTGCCTGAGTTTTTATTAAGAAGTACACAGGAGAGGATAGATAGTAAGGCTGGATTTCTGTAATTTATCACCATGTTTTCTTGAAAAACAAGCCTAGGGTGCTAGATACAAACTTTGAAAGCCTCAGTCTTTTTGTGCTTACAATTACTACCTTTCCATATCAGTAGCTATTGGTCATGCCTGGCTGAAAACTGAGTATCACACATAATGCCTTTGGGTCTCCAGAATTAAGATTTGCACCATCAAGTGGAGAGTGTGTGAGGAGGAAAGTGTTGCTGGTAATTTGTCAGTGACAAATAGGGAAAACACGGTAAGAGGTCCAGGGTAAGCACTTGCTCTGGTTGCCTTTCTATTGCTGTAATAACACCCATGGCCAAAAGCACTTAGGTGGGGAACAGATTTATTTCATATATTTTCAGGTCACAGTCCATCACTGAGGGAAGCCAGGGCAGGCACCTGAAGGCAGGACTGTTTGCTGTTCCACACAGCATTATCTCCAACTAGGGAGCTCTCTCACAGCCAAGGAAGTGCACAAGAAACCATGGCTAGCTCACTGACTGAAGTTTACACTCCTCATACAGCTTCCTTATACAGCCCAGGCCCATCTGCCCAGCCAGTGGAGAGTGGGCTGGGCCTCTCACATCAGTTAGCAATCAAGACAGTCCTTCACAGACATGCCTCTGGACCTGATAAAGACAGTTACTCACCTGAGAATGACTTTCCCCCCCAGGGGATTCTAGGCTGTGTCCGTACTAACTAGGATGACATCATTACCCATCAGAAGACTTGAGAGCTGCTAAAAACTCATGTTTCTCTTATAGTTTATGATATTCTTGATATTTCAGTTTTTGCCAACAGAAAATCAGAGTGATCAAGCTGAAGATATGTCTGTCCTTTTTTTAGTTCTGCTTTACCAAACACCATTCAAGTCTTCAGCTTGCTTTCTGTGGTAAAGGATCATTTGTTCATAAGTAAACACAAGTTTCCTTTAGCAAATATAAGCGGTTCCATGTTTGGGTAGAAAGGCAATTATCACAGGGTGAACATGTAGGAGTGCTGTGTATAGGCAGGAACACAGCTGGCCAGCTGCCTCAGCTGCTGTTGGAACAGTTAGTTTTTCCTAGTACCCTTTCAGACATTTGCCCTGCCCCCTCTTCTTGTGCTGGTGATGGAACCCAGGGCTAGTGCACACTCAGCACGCTCTCAGCTCGTCCCACTGCCTCCCTTGCTTACTGTTGGGCAAGGCAGTGAGACACTGGCTGTCACCTTTCCCTGCTCTGTTGACCATGGTCCCCACCCCCTAAAATTCATCTGCCGCCTCCTCGTTCTGTTCTCCTTCTTCTAATGCCCTTGCTTTTTCTTTCTGCTTTTATTATTTCCCTCCCCTTCTTCTTCTTCAGGAGAATCAGCGCCTCCAGCAGAGAATAGACACCATGACAAAAGAGGTGTCTGACCTCCAAGAGACCCTGCTTTGGAAAGATAAAACAGTTGGGGTATGAGAGGAGATGGGGCTTTGGAGAAGTTCATTCCTGAGGAATAGACCAAGAAAGTGTAGACAATATGAATAAACAGAAGACAGAGACTTCCCTAGGAAACCTGGTAGTGTGCCTAGAGAGAACTTCTCTTTCCAGACTCCATTCTTGTGATGCTCAGAAATAGAAACCTTTAAAAGAAGTGTTCTTTATTCTCCAAGGATTCTTATCCCAGAGCAACCACAGGCATCTAATTCAGATTCTGTGGATAGCTGGCTATTTTACCTTACAGAAGTATGGATTAAAAAGTAGTTGGAGGTGGAGATGGGGAAAACGTTTTCATGTAAATTGTTGGTGAATAAAGTAGGAGGGGATCACAAATCAGTTTAGTGATGGAAATGGATAGGAACGTAAGCTCACAGGGCTGCCAAACTGTGACACCACCTCTAATTATAACCCAGCATTCCCCAGCTTGGGGCCTGGTAGGGAAAACACCCTCACTACTGCTTTGTGTAGCATTGCAGGTACACTCCAACCATGCTGGAGGGTAGCAAAACTAGTCACATCTCTAGTTCCATAGGGCAGAAATGTCAAGAACTAAAGGTACTTTTAGATAATTTTCTGAAGCTTAAGTTACCAAATTTCCAAAAATCCGCCAACAACTAGAACATCTTCCCAGGGGACATTCTGATTGTGAATTACTTAATTTATATACCTTTTTTCCTTGGAAAAGTGAAGTGATATGGGGGAGTGGGCACACAGAGTAGGCAGTTGTGGAGGAAAAGTTGAAAATGTACATCTTGTCTAGGATGGCCATCTCATGAGGCAGGGAGGCCTGGGACTTCTCATTTGTATGGCTTTCTTAGCAGTTTAAACTGGTTATCTTGGACTAGCTTAGTAGCTACAGTAAAACTACACACCCCCTAAAGGAGCTCATTAAAACAGACCGTGGTTTCCTACGAGAAAGACATGCCAGTGGTGGTTGTAGTGGCACAGCCTTTGATCTCAGAATTTGGAGAAAGGCAGGTAGGTGGATCTCGTGAGTTCTAGGCTAGCCTGGTCTATGTATTGAGTTCTAGGCCAGCCAGGGTTACCCAGTGTGGCCTGTCTCAAAAAGAAAAAAAAGAAAGAAATGTATAAATATACATGCGGATGGCTAAGCTATAAATCACTTGGCTTTTAATTGTCTGAAGTTTTCTAGAAGATGTATTTAACTTTTAAAGAGTAAACTTTTACAAACTGCTGAGGTAGCTCAGTGGGTAGAGGGCTTGCCTTGCAAGTGTGATGATTGATCTGGATTTCCAGAACCCACCTGAAGGTGGGAGGAGAGAGGAAAGTCCATAAGTGGTCCTCCACCTCTACTGTGTGGGTGTGCCTACTCATACATCATATACATAATAGTACTGTTTTTGAAAAATTAAATGTTTATTTTGAGGAAAATTAAGATTCACATACAAATGTATGAAATGATACCAAGATATGCCCACACACCCTTTGCTCTAGAATGTCACATCTTGCAATTCTGTATGTAGTACAGTGTTACAGCCAGGACGTGTCTGTGGACAGTGAAGATAAAGCATTTCCTCTTCTCCTTTTTATAGATACTCACTCTTCCTACTCCCGGCCTCCAGCCCTCAGAGCCACTCTGTCATTTTGCCATTTTAAGAATGGTGGAGCTGGGTGGTGGTGGCACACGCCTTTAATTAATCCCAGCATTTGGGAGGCAGAGGCAGGTGGATCTTTGAGTTCAAGGACAGCCTGGTTTACAGAGCTCTAAACAGCCAGGGCTATACAAAGAACCCTGTCTCAAAAACAAACAAACAAAAGGAACGTTATATAAATAGAAACTGTGTATAATATATTTGGACTTAGATTTTTTTCATTCAGCATAACTCAAAAAGTTTATCTAATTTTAACAGTAGTTTATACTTCCCTTAGCTTTTAATTGTGTTTATTACAAATAATGATCTACCATCTTAACAGCTGGACAGTTCAGTGGAGTTAAATTCACCTATATTGCTGTGCACTGTTCCCATCCTGTCCAGCGAATGGAACCCACTAAGCAATGCCATCCACCTCACCCCTGCCCACCACTGCTCCACTCTGTCTCCAGGTTAATACTCTAGGTTCCTCAATGAGGTGGACTCACATAGCACTTTATGACTACTTTATGACAGGAGCACAATATCCTAGGGCTTTAGAGCATCATCAGCATTGAAGGATGTGTCAGAATGAGTTGTGTGTGTGATCTTACTATGTGTAGTTCAGGCTGACCCTTCCATTTCCTCCTAAGTTCTGGGGTTCCAGGCATTCTTTACCTACACTCAGCAAATATCCTTACTTTTTGAAACTGAATGGACAAATGTGTCACATTTCTCTCTCTCTCTCTCTCTCTCTCTCTCTCTCTCTCTCTCTCTCTCTCTCTCTCTCTCTCTTTTAAATTTTTTGAGATAGGGTTTCTTTGGTAGTGTTGGTGCCTGTCCTGGAACTCACTCTGTAGACCAGGCTAGCCTCGAACTCACAGAGATCCACCTGGTTCTGCCTTCCAAGTGCTGGCATCAAAGGTGTGCGCCACCACTGCCCGGCCACATTTATCTCTTAGTTGCACCTGGGTAGCAGCTTCCACCCCTGGCTGTTGTGAATATGCTGCTGTGCATATGTTGTGCAGGTATTTTATTCGTGCTCTGTTTTATTTGGGATGTATAACCCAAAGTGGAATTGCTAAGTCATTTAGGAACTTTGTTTTAAGGACCAGCCATTCTGTATTCCGTAGCACATTCCTCTCAGCAATGAGCAAAGGATAGGATTCCTCCACTTCTTCACCAACACTTGTTACTTCTCTGTCTGGTGTTGTTATGTTGTCTGTTTTTGCTTTTTCAAGTCTAAGGAAGAGAACCCAGGAGCTCACACCTGATAGGCAAATGCTCTACTACTGAGCTCCATCGCTAGACATGTTTTTTTTTTTTTTTGAGACAGAGTCTGTGTACACCAGGCTGAATCCACCACACCCAGCTTTTACTTCCAAAGGGCTTGCTTTCAGTACCTAATGCATCACTCATCTCCAGGTTCATTTTCAAGAATAAAATCTAATAACTTAATCAAGAAACAGGTCCCAGGTTGAAACTGAGTTTTCTCTCACTTTTCCTTGGTGACGTCAGTTCCTTTATCACTAGCTTCTTGCAGGTCTCTATAGGTACTCAACGTCGAATAGAGTAGTGCACATAAAGGGCCTGGGCTCTGGGCCAGCCTGCATCCGTTAATTCTCATTCTCAATAACTGCAGTTATTGAACCTGTTGCCTAGCATTTTAGCCTGTTCCACATCTCTGTTTGGCTTTTTGATGCTAAAATTAGATGTTAGATCTTTGACAAAGGATTATTTAGATCTCGCAAGGATGTCCTTTTTACTCTTTAAAAATGTGCTGCAGGCAGTACTGATATCTGCAGCACAGGGCAGTGGTTGTGTGGCCAGGCGGCACAGAGGACTGCAGATCTAGAGCCCATATGTTTGACGCAACTATAAAGGTGTTTCACTAGCTTCCCAGCTTTGTGGTGAAATGAACAAATACACAGGATATATTTTATTTTCCTAACTGTAATTATAGGAAGATGAAATTTTAAAATCTAGAAGTAAAACAAGAACCCAGTACTATAATTGTGGAAGGAGACATAAAAGCCACATACTAGTGTTTGCTAGAATTCTTAACTTGAGATTGGTCTATTCCTGAGAGGTCTTTTGTATTCATTGGGATTATTGACACAGCATATCGTGAAAGTGACCACCTCCTCAGCTTCATATTGTAATTATAACACAACTGCATGGCATGCTTTTGTAACACACATCTAACTGGTGGTGCAGGTGACTGCCATGTCCATAACACACATCTAACATAACCCATATGGTTTGGGTGACTGCCTGCAGATAAGAAATGTTGCTGTGCTTGTTCTAATGTTCATTTGCTGGTAAGGTGGTTAGGTAATTGGAGATCCATTAGATGTGTGAGTTTCCACCACTATAGAAAGGAAGGTAGGGATTGACATTACAGTGTGAAAAACGAGGAGAGGGCCTGCCTAAGGGGCACATCCCCAGCGTTATGTGGGGTGACCATGAAGGAGCAGAATGCAGACTGTATGCAAGGTGTTAGGACCAAATGAACTGGACTCACTTCTCCCCTGGGGCTGCTGTAACTTTGGACAAGGAGATAATAAGTGCACTCTAGAAGGCAGAAGCCAGGGCTTCATCACCAGATCAGTGTCTGCTGTCACAGGCGGTGCAGCACAGTGGGGGTGCTGTCATGCTTACTTGTTTCCAGTTTGGTCACAGAATAGGACTATAATGGTTTTTATAAAAATTACTCAATCAGTGCCAGGCATGTTGACATATGCCTGTTAATCTCACTGTAGGACCAGGAGTTCAAGGTCAACCTTGACTACATAGCAAGTTGAAGGCCAGCCTAGGCAATATGAAACCCTCTAGAGATTCAGCAACAAGGACAACCACTAAACACTTTCTAGCCATTAGTAACTAAGCAGTTGACCTACTTTTTGACCTGGTGATCAAAGTTACGGCTTGCCTTATTGGGTTAATGCTGGAGAAAACATTAAATCAGGAGAAATAAATAGCGGAAGGGTTCTGGTAGACAGCCCTGCCGCCAGGTTACCAGGCACCTGCTTTCTTCTTCGTGTTGGAACGTGGTTTCACATTCACTATTGATGACCAAAGTAGCTTCCTTCTTCTGCCTGTGCTGCTGTCCTGAAAGCTCTGATGCAGGAAACAGGGAGGCTCCCGAGGAGAGCCCACCTGCCTTTCCCAACCCTCCGTGCAGCCTGCCAGTGCGAGCAGTACTCCAAGCCCAGGGTGCCTCCTAAGGGGTGCCACTGTTAGGCCTCCTGTTTGCCAGATGGGTGGATTCTGATATGTCAAGTCCCCAAAGCTAGATTTGAAACTCCTGACCCCACTCACTTTATAAGTATAAACTAATTTTTAACAGAAAACCAATTACCATAGGTTGTAGAGAATTCCTTTGGAGCTGAGCTGTCTTGGGCCAAGTGGTAACTGAGTATCTTGCTAACACTGGAGAACAAGCAGACAGCCAGTATTTAAATAACTTATCCAGACTTGCTCTTTTTCCCAAACCATCTTCATTTTTAACAAGCATATTCTTAACTAAACTACTTCTGTTAAAGATGAAATAAAATGTGTTGGGTTTTTGTTGTTGTTGACCAAATGAAAATATACTGAGGAAATTATGCAGGAAATTTTTGTGTGTAAAGATGATCTTCATGTGATGAGCGCGTCTTCCAAGTTCATGCATGAGGGCTCTTCTCTGTTTAAACCATTCTGCTACTGTGCACACAGGCTGCTCCCTCCCTGCCTGGCCACTGTCTCCACACTTCTAACCTTCTGCTTGTAGGCCTTACCTGCTTATTGGATTAGTCACCTTTCTCTTGCTCTTTTTCGATGCTGTTCTTTCCCTTGCTACCCTGCCTAAAACCAGGCCCTAGAGAAACAGAAGGAACACATTACCTGCCTCAGGAATGAGCGAGATGTGCTCAGAGAGGAGCTGGCTGACCTGCAGGAGACAGTGAGGACGGCAGAGGTACGTCGGCCTGGGCCTTCTTCCCCTGCTCTTGCCTTAGTTCTTTGCTGCCCATAAACAACAGCCTTGATACGATGATGGATTGAGCTAGTTCTTCCACAGAGGTATATCACATAACTAATCTAACTAGTTCTTACCCATGGCTAACAAACATTGTTGCAGAGATGTCTCAACAGAACTTATAGTTTCTGTGTGGATTACTGCTTGTAATGGTAGGTTTTTTCTTCCCCACAGAAACATGGCTTAGTTATAATCCCAGACAGCACTCCCAATGGTGATGTCAATCATGATGAACCTGTTGTGGTTGGAGCCATTACTGCTGTGTCTCAGGAAGCTGCTCAGGTCTTGGAGTCAGCAGGAGAAGGGCCACTAGGTAAGACACTGCTTGGTATTCCGTTTTAGATTGATGTTGGGCTTCAAGCCCAGGGTAGGGGTGGGAGGCAGTATACGGCTATTTAGACAAGAATCTGGACACATTGTCTCTGACATTCTTGATCTTGGGAAAGCAGAAATGGAGTCATCGTGTGGGTTAGCACTGATGGAAGCATTGCAGGTGCATACACATCGCCTTTCACCTACAACAGACTTTGTGCAGAGTCCAGCTGCCCATCCCGGGGAGCTCAGGGCTGCGGGGACTTGCTAGCATGGGGTTAGCTTCTTCCTCGCCCACCTGGATTTAGAGTCTAAGCCTACCCCAGGGCTCTACAGCTCTTTGGCCACCACTTTTCTTAAAGCGAGAAATGGATGATGGAGAAGGCACATATTGAAGTGTGACTTCCAGGGCAGGATCCAGGCCTGTTAAAATGGACCCTTAGAGAATCTAACAACACCTCTCCAGAAAGTCACAAAGGGGCCCAGCCACTGTCCCCACAACAAATCTAGGGGAAGAGAAATAACACAGATAGATACCGTGCCATCAGCTTACATTAATTTTAAAAAAAATTTTTAATTTAAATTTTTTTCTTTTACCTTGTTTGTGTGTGTGTGTAGTTTTTTTTTTTTTTTTTTTTTGGTTTTCTGGGACAGTGTTTCTCTGTGTAGTTTTGGTGCCTGTCCTGGATCTCGCTCTATAGCCCAGGTTGGCCTCGAACTCACAGAGATCCGCCTGGCTCTGCCTCCCAAGTGCTGGGATTAAAGGCGTACACGTGTCACCACTGCCCGGTGTGTGTAGTTTTCTTAAGGGAGTGTGAGGCACTACAAGAGCAGCACAGGCTAAACTGTCTTCAAGTTAGTAGTCTTAACTATTAGCCACAGGTTTAAACAACAGTTGAAGCCTCTCCGGGTTTTCGGATCCACACCAGTCTTAGAGCTCTCACTCACCTGCTCCACTGGCCATCGCAGGCTCATTGGTGCCAGCGTTATGCAGGGCCTTGACCCGCACTCCGGGGCCCACTCCTGTTCCGTGTTCTGCTCCCCACCAAGGCTGGGAGCCTCTGAAGACAACTGGGAAAAGCTTGCACGTTTTTGCAACAACAACAACAAAATGGTTTCCTCTTTTAACAAAATGGACTCCAGTTTGTGTCTAGGCAGAAAGTCACTGCTCTGGAAGCAGATATTTGATGTCATAACTGTCACCAGCTAGGAGTATGTTTGGGAGAATAAAGTATTCTTTTGATTGGAGTTAAGGCCTACATGTTGTCTCATGTAGAATTCTAGAAATATAATTAATTGTTGATAGAGGATGCAAGTGAGCTAGAAGGGAAACCCATGCAGGCATGCTCACCTTTGGCATTTGAGATGACATTGTCATTCGCAAAGCCCAAACTCAAAAACCATACAAAAACAAAACAAAACAAAAATCATGTAACTTTACCATTTTGTTCGTTCCCATCCATAGCTGTTACAGCCTGATAGTGGATAGAGCTGAAGACAGCAATGGGCATCTCTGGGGTTCTTCTACCTCTTTGGGTGCTAAGGGAACTGGAACTGACATGTCCGCCCCTCATTTATTATGGGCCATTGGCCAACTGGGAGCTGCTGCTTTAGCTGAACTGGTGGTGTCTCCTCAGCCCAGGGGGCCTGTTCCCGCCTGGAAGCAGCAGCCCTGCGCATCTGCCTAGGCTGGAACCCAGTTCCCTACCCTGGTTTCTTGTGTTCAGCACTAGATTAGCCACAGGTTTAAACAACAGTTGAAGCCTCTCCGGGTTTTCGGATCCACGAGGCTCTCTCAGTTTCACACCAGTCTTAGAGCTCTCACTCACCTGCTCCACTGGCCATCGCAGGCTCATTGGTGCCAGCGTTATGCAGGGCCTTGACCCGCACTCCGGGGCCCACTCCTGTTCCGTGTTCTGCTCCCCACCAAGGCTGGGAGCCTCTGAAGACAACTGGGAAAAGCTTGCACGTTTTTGCAACAACAACAACAAAATGGTTTCCTCTTTGTGGACAAAATGGACTCCAGTTTGTGTCTAGGCAGAAAGTCACTGCTCTGGAAGCAGATATTTGATGTCATAACTGTCACCAGCTAGGAGTATGTTTGGGAGAATAAAGTATTCTTTTGATTGGAGTTAAGGCCTTTGCTTCTTTTCATGTTTAGAATGTAAACAATGTAATTTAGTAGATGCTGGCTATTTGTGAAAACCTTTCCAAGTCCAGTTTACAGCTTCCCACTTGTTCCAGATGTGAGGCTACGGAAACTTGCTGGAGAAAAGGAGGAGCTCCTGTCACAGGTGAGATGTCTGCTCATCTGAAACCATTAGTTCATCTAAGATAGGCAGTAAAATGCTAATAAATTAAATGTTCACTAGAAATTAGATACATTGCTGGGTGTAGTAGTGCACGCCTTTAATCCCAGCACTTAGGAGGCAGAGGCAGGTGGATCTTTGTGAGTTTGAAGCTAGCCGGTCTGCATAGAGAGTTCCAGGACAGCCAGAGATACATAATAAAATAAAATAAAATAAAATAAAAAGGTATTTCTTAACTGTAGTACTCAAATAACATTTAAAGGAAGAAAAGCTAATTGATATTGTCTTTAAAAATGTATGGGATGCATGCAAAGCTGGTTGCTCAGCCCTTCTACCCCCACCCTGACCATCTCTGTCCTCTCTCAGCTGCCCCTTTGTGAGAGTCACTGACTTCATGAGGCTACTCCTTAAAGGGACCATCTGTTGACAGTCCTCTGTGGAAGACAGACCTCTGCCACACATGGGCATACTTCCTGTTCCTGTAGCCTCTCACCAGCCAGTTTGTTTCTCTCTGCAGGACTCTGAACGTTGGCTCCATAGGGAGCCATCCTCTGTTCTGGGTGGCTTTTCTTGTGTTTATCATCATACAGTTAGCCCCTGTTTTAAGCAGTAGTTTAAGCCCACTCAGTTTTCTGATCCATAGCAGGTTCCCTGGCTCCATCTCTCAGTCTCTGACTGCTCAGTCTGAACTAGCAGCTTGTTCACTCTGTGCTGCTGGGACTGTCCTTCAAGCCTGTGGGGACTTTCTCTGCCTGTGCTTTGGGTTGGCTTCCCTTTTCTCGGCTTTTCTCCTTTCCTCTTTCATTCACTCTTATTTTTTATATTCCAGTAGCTTCCTGAGGAAAGAGCATGTGGGCTGGTAATTTCTCATGCCTTTGAAGGCCTGAACGTGTCATTTTCCCTCAGACTTTTAAAAATCTCTTCCTTTACTGTCCTGTCCTTGAAGACAGTTGTTCAGAATTGTGAGGACAGGCTGTGACATGGCTCAGTGAGCAAAGTGTGTGCTGGGCGGGCGGGCGGGCGGGACGACCTAAGTTCAATTCCTAAAACCCACCTGAAAGTAGCACACGAGAACTGACTCCTCCAGGCTGTCCTCTGACCTCCAGAAGAGTATGTTTTTGTGTATGTGCATGAACACTCAATAAATAATAATAATAATAAACAATTTCGAGGACATTTTGAGATTTGATCTCTCATAGGTGATGTTTTTCTTTTCCTCTGTAAGCTTCTGTCCTATTCTCTTTCTCTCTAGTATCTTGAAATCTCACAGTGATGTGTTTAGAAGTTTTCAAGCGTGATAGCAGCGCCTGTTGATTCTAGTCTTTAGTTTAGAAAAACTTGAGTGATTTTAGTTACTCTTTCTTCACTCCTATTCAGTCAGTAAGCAAATGGCAAGTGATACTCTACTGTTTAATACATTATTCATGGCACATAGGAAATTTGGATGAATAATCAGATTTGTGGGTTTATTTGAAAAATCCATGCCCTGGTAGGCCTTAGTAGAGAGAGGTCAGGCAATAGAATTAAGCAGTGTTGTATGTGAAGTTTCTGTGAACACATTTATCGTGTGTTTCTCTAGTGACATTCAGCTGTGTGGCAGGCATGTAGTCAAGACAGTTAGACATAGCTAGGACAAGGGATGTGGTGGGCATGTAAGACTGCGGTGATCAGGTTGGACCTAGAAGTCAAGCTGAATGAGCAGTGTTGAGAGGACCTCTAAGTAGAGATCAGCTGTAGTAGAAAGAAGATAGATCAATGACTGGAAGTGAGTGTGGCTGAAGGATATTCGGGTTAGGGTATAGAGAGAATGAACGGGGGGATCAGCAGTCGTGGTTAGAGTATGTGGAACTAAATAACTTAGGGAGTATGACTATCAAATGTTGAAGTCTGTTATTATGTGTTACATGAAGGCCAAGGGCAAAAAGAGGTAGATGGCAGGATCCTTGAAGGGGAGGTGTTCCAGAATCAGGGATGCATTATGGGAGCATGTCACTACTCTAGATGTGTATTGAAATGGCCAAGATAGAGGGTAGTTTTGGGAGCTAACAGGACAGAGGCACAGTACACCAGTGAAGATGTGAGGCAGTTAGATATGAATCTCAACAGGTAAGATTAAGAACGGGGACTTCTAGGAAGTATGACTACAGGATAGTTCAGCACCAGCAAGGAAAGCCTGAGAGCACTATTCCATTTCCAGGCTGAGGTAGGAGCCTATGAAGACAAAAGCTGTAGTGCTTAGTGGGGCTCTAAGAACTGCAGGGCTCTGTGAGAGTACTAAGGTGAAAAGTGTACTCTGAGATGAGGCTGTGGCAGGAGCATCAGCTGGTGGCAGGCTGATGCTTCCAGAAGCATTGGAGAAGTTTGTGTGTGTAGCGGGGTAAGGTTAGGTATGGCACAGGGCCTTTGGGTAAGAGTGCTGAAGAAGAGGGATGCCCCTTTTGGGGTGTGGTAGGAATGATGGGATAACAACCCACTTCTCTCAAGGCAAACCCATATGTGTGCAAAGGGCAGAGGTGCCTGGGAAGTATGCATTCACTGAGTGTGAAATTAGCACTTGCCCTTCCCATTGGACAGTGGCAAAGCTTGTTCTCAGCTTCCTTTTAATCTCGGGCAGCAGAGTTAAGGAAACTGGGAAAGCCAGACATTTGTGCTTCCAATTAATTTGAATATTTAAAGTTCTCTAAGTGTTCAATTTATCTCTAAAAAACTAGACAAAAAGTCCTATCTACCCATGAAAGGATTCATTTTAATAAGACTAAGAAAAAAATATTCAAAAGTGTACTGTTGTGTAAACACACACAAGTAAGTAATAAAGAGTAGAAGTCTTTATTGAGACACCTGGTTTCTGAGGCCCATTCCTTTCTGTTTATATCAGTTTATATCAAATGCCTAGAGCCATTCTTGTCTTAGGAAAAACTGTTTGAGTGATTTGTATGACTTGCTAATAATAATAAGGATCTGCTTTGTTGTATGTGATGGCCACTGGACCAGTTACCTCCTTTAAGAGAATGGGGTTGGAAGCTGGTAAAGTCACTGCAGCAGTAGCTGTGCAGTCATGTCCTGGATCTGAATTCCCAGCAGTAGGCAACTGCAGCATGTGTCTGTAATACCAGCACTGGAGAGGTGGACACAGGAGGTTCACTGGAGTTTGCTAGCGAGCCAGCCAGGCCAAATTGATTAGCTTCAGGCTTGGTGAGATCCTTGTCTCAAAAACATGAAGACCAACTGAGGAAGGCATCTGATGTAGACCCCTGGCCTCCATATATGCATCGGCACATACAAACTTAAGACACTTATCTTCCATCCAGGCCTGGTGACACAGGTCTGCAATCACAAGTACTTGGGAGGCTGAGGAAGGAGAATCACAAGTCCAAGGTCTCCCTGATCTGAAGAGTGAGTGCAAGGCCAGTCTGGGCAACTTAGTGAGAACCTATTTCAAAGTAAAAAAAGAGGGATATGGCTACAGCTGTCATAGTGTTCGCTTAGCATGCCTGAGTCCCTGGGCTTCACCCCCAGTATCCCCAAAGAAAGAGATAAAGAAACAGACAGACACTGATCTCACTGGTGACTTTTGTTTCCATTTCAGATTAGAAAGCTGAAGCTGCAGTTAGAAGAGGAACGGCAGAAGTGTTCCAGGAATGATGGCACATCTGGGGACCTGGCAGGACTGCAGAATGGCTCAGATTTGCAGTTCATCGAGATGCAGAGTAGGTACCAGACAGGCCAGTCTGCACTGGTATGTAGCATGTATCCCTGGAACAGAGGTGGAGGTGGGCTGCTGGAGTCCAGGAGAGTGGTCCTGACCTCTTAAGAGCTGAACAGGGACTCTGCTCACCTGTGAGTCCCAGGGATGGCATGGGCCAGTCCCTGCCCACATGTGATGTCTGAGCGCCTGTGTGGGTCCCTCTTCCATTTACGCTTTTTCTTTGGAATTCATCTTGGAAAATTGAAGATTTAAGACCAGCTCATTAATGTTGAGTTTCTGAAATTTACTAGTTTTTAACAAAAATTCATCTTTACATGAAATTAAAAGCAAGGCTACAAGATATAGTCTGTTTATACAAATTATATTTCCTTTTGACCCCATATTGTTGGTTTGTTTGAGAGAGGGTCTTTCTACATAGTCCTGGCTAGCCTGAAATCACTATGTAGACTGGGCTGGCCTAGAACTCAGAGATCCACCTGCCTTTACCTCCCAAGTGCTGGGATTAAAGGTGTGTGCTACTGTGCTTGGCCCCATCTTGTTTTTAAGTGTCTATCTACTGTATTCACCCTACATACCACAGTAGAGTTGTCCCAGCATCCATTCTTATTATTGCCCTGTTGGTAGTGATGTGTAACTTACAATATGGGGCTTTTATTTTTGTAATTTGTAGGGGCTTTACTGATAATGTATTTTAAAATCTTGGCTATCTGTGTCCCTTTCATATTAACAATTGGACGGAGGATGAATGGAAGAATTTGGGGGTTGAAGCTTATTAGTAATAACTTATGTGGTTAGTATTACTTTTTTTGGACCTCAGGTCTCTCATATTCCTTGATGAGTAGTTTGTTCCTTGATGAGTAGTTTGTTCTAGAATCTCACTTTGGCGGGACAGGAAGGTGACAGAAGGTGGGAAGGCTAGTTAGGAGCCTAGTAGGGTGAGCTTGACCAGTATAGTGGATGCCAGTAGTCCCAGAGGGCACAAGTAGATTTTGAAAGATTGCAAAAGCCGCAAATTTGAAAGGAACCAAGCTGAAGAGGAACAAAGTAGCTTTTGTGTGACTGTTTCCTGGAGCCAAGCAGATGTTAGAGGTGGGCTTTACAGGTGGAGGTTAAATGACCCGAGCAGCACATGGCAGCCAGGACTGACTGCCGAGGACAATGTGAGCAGCTGCTAGCTCTGAACAGCAACTGGACCTGTAGTGAGTAGGGTTTCAGAAACATACAAGAGTGAGTGAACAGACTTGTACACAGGAAGGAATCAGTGTTTGAAAGTGATAAAGTAGCTGCACATTTTCATAACCAATAGGTTACTGGAGATTTGAATATAAAAACAGGACTGTAACTTCTCTTGTAGAGCTCATGAATGGAAAGTTCTCTCCACGACCAGAGGTGGCCCGGAGAGATAGCAGCTCTATCCCATTTTTTGAAATAGTCTCATTGTGCAGCTCAGGCTGGCCTCAAACTCATGATCCTCTTGTCTTAGCCACCCAAGGGCTAGCATTTGGGGTTACAGGGAGGTGCCACCTCCTGTGGTTCCTGTTAAGGTAATAGTAACTGTCCAGTCAGCAAAACTGCTTGCACTGAACACTGCATAGGTAGGCCTCCTATTGTTCATGTGGAAATAGAGGAATGTTCTAGAGTTTTTTGAATTTTTCCTTTGGTGACTTAGATGTATGTTCTATAGACTTTGCAACTGTATAATCTTCAAAGGGTGAAGACTTTAGGATCCTGGTGGGAATTTTAACCCCACCCCCATTTCTAAACTTCTAAGCTCTTTATTTCTTGGGAATGATGTACATCTAATGATTTGTGGCTATAACTATAACATCACCATATTATTGAAAAGCATTTATCTCAGGTTTATTGAAGCATAGAATGCAAAACATTTGGCTAGGTCCATAAATTTAAGAAGACTAGGCAGGACCCCCTCTTTACATACACAAACATATTACAGAACATAATTATCATAAAAAGAATGCAGATAAGATGAGCAAGGGAAGAAGTTACAGTTCCTGAGTTATGGAGACGAGTGCATCTTACTGAGGCTGGTGAAGAATTGAATCAGTGTGTGAGAGAGCAGAAACACTGCCTGAGAACTAGAAGGTACAGGGCTGGGTTCAGAGAAACAGGGGGCCCAGAGGCTGCAGGGCCATTGCCACCCTGTGAACTTCCTTTCTCAACGCTCTGTTCACATGCATTTAGAGCAGTGGTTCTCAACCTTCCTAATGCTGGGACCCTTTAACACACTTCCTCATGTTGTGGTGACCCCCAACCATAAAATTATTTCATTGCTACTTCATAATTGTAATTTTGCTACTGCTATGAGTCATAAATATCTGATACGTGACCTCCAAAGGGGTCTTGACCGACAGGTTGAGAACCACTGATTTGGAGGGAAAGAACAACTTGTTTGGCCCTAGGGATACTGCTGAGCGGGGGTGCAGGAGTTATCTTGTAGTACATAGAGTCCAGAACCTGAACTGCATGTCCTCTATATGCTATGTCACAGCTTCAGTTCTGGAGATGAGTGTAATTCATTATTATCTTCTGTTTTAGGAGATGCCAATAGACAAATTAGTGAATACAAATTCAAGCTTTCCAAAGCAGAACAAGACATAACCACCTTGGAACAAAGTGTAAGTACTTCTGTGAAGCAGCAAATGATTTAGATGCCATTAAATGCTATCAAATGCCTCTCAGCCTCTTGCATCAAAGTGGTTAGACCTTTGAATTTCTGTAGGTGGCCTTGGCCACTGGATCTCTCTCTTCAAACGCTCTGCATTACAGCTGAAAAGCCACCAGAGCACACCTGGTGGGGAAATTCAACTTCGTGTTTGTTCTAAAAATGGAGGACTGGGCCAGCAGGATGGCATAGCAGACACTTGCTGCCAAGCCTAAAGATCTGAGTTTGATCCCCAAGACCCACACAGCTGTAGACAACTGATTCCCACATGTTGTCTTATCCTGTCCTAGTTATGATTTCTATTGCTGTGCCGAAACACCATGATCAAAAGCAACTTGGGAAGGGAAGAGTTTATTTCCTCACATTTCCATATAACAGTTCATTATCAAAAACAGTGAGGGCAGGAACTCAAGCAGGGCAGGAACCTGGAAGCAGAGGCCATGGAGGGGTGCTGCTTACTAGCTTGATCCTCTTGGCTTGTTTAGGCTGCTTTCTTTTAGAACCCACAACAAATAGCCCAGGGATGGCACCACCCACAATGGGCTGGACCCCTCCCCCATCAATCACTAATTAAGAAAAATGCCCAGCTGGATGGAGTTGGCGAACACGAAGTTCGAGGCCAGTCTGGTCTACAGAGCAAGTTCCAGGACAGCCAGGACTGTGAGAAACCCAGTCTCAACCAAAAAGAAAGAAAGAAAATGCCCTATAGATTTGCCTGCAACCGAATCTTACGGAGGGCTTCTCTCACTTGAGGACTCCTCTCTCAGATGACTTTAGCTTGTGCCAATTTGACATAAAACCAGCACAGACCTCTATGTGCACACAGTAAATAAACAGGTGTAATATTTTCTTAAACATAGTACTTTGTAGCTGTCATTTTTAAAAAAGCTATTTCTAGAGAATTTTAAAACAGGGCCTCTTTAGAAAAATATTCCTTCTGTACATTTCAAATGCCTGAAGACTTAACATGGGAAATTGGCCCTATAGTGAATGACTCTGCGATTGTACTTCTCCTGGGCTCCTGGGCTCCCCAGTGACACTGAGTTTCCATCTTGGCTGCCAAGCAGTGGTGGCAAACCCTAGAGGCCTGTGTGCTCCTCTTTACAGATCAGCCGGCTTGAGGGGCAGGTGCTGCGGTACAAAACTGCTGCTGAGAATGCTGAGAAAATTGAAGATGAGCTGAAAGCAGAGAAGAGGAAGCTCCAGCGAGAGGTACTGTGCCAACACGCTTCCTGGAGAACACATTCCTACAAAGGAAGTCTGTGGGAAAATTCACACGACACAAGAAATCTTGAGTCAAGTGTGGGGGCGCACGCCTTTAATCCCAGCACTTGGGACAGAGGCAGGCCAATCTGTTAGTTTGAGGGCAGCCTGATTTACAGAGCGAGTTCTAGGCCAGCCATAAATACCCAATGAGACCCTGTCTCAAATAACCAAACCCCAAAATAAAGGAACAGTGGAGCCACTTGCCCATCGTACAGACTTTGGACCTGCACAGTGGCTGCCATTGACTTTGGTAAGGCAGCATGTAAAAATGTATTTTGGGGTTTTGCTTCAGATGACATCAGTTTTTGCAGCCTTTACACATTTTGTTTTGTGGCTTTACAATCCTCAGCACCACTGTTGAGGCCTCTAGCTGCCTGGAGAAAGGTGGCAGCTGTTTGGGGACCCCCATGCATGGCTATCATTATTAGCAGAGCTCCGTTTCCCAGAAAGCAGAAAGGAAGAGATGCTGGGCTTTCTTCTGACCACATAAAGTGACTGTGCTCTTTGTCTCCAGCTACGGACAGCACTGGACAAGATCGAGGAGATGGAGATGACCAACAGCCACCTGGCAAAGCGTCTAGAGAAGATGAAGGCCAACAGGACGGCCCTTCTAGCCCAGCAGTAGGCCTGGGTGCTGCTCCGAGGGCCTTGCCCGGAGACACTGACTCTTTTGTATATTGACACAAGCCCTTCTAGTACTGTCTGAGTCTCGTCATTAAACAGCCACCTTTGTATTTTATAATTTATGAGAATGAAGCAGGTTTAATCGTCATGAATTTGGATTTTGTTTGTAGCTCACTTCTATAGTGAGAACTAGTCTGTGCTTTTTATTTTTAATTTTCAACATTCTAGAATCACGTTTTCTCACCATCTTCCTCCAGCTGCCTCACTGACTGGGCACTTGGGAGGCCTTGGTGTGGGTTCTGGAGGATGGCCATTCTGAGTGCTGAGACACTTGCTGGAGACCTCAAAAACACAAGTGCCTTCTCCACGGTGTGATACGGGCTTCAGAGACCAAGTGGCCAAGATTCCTCCTCTTACCAGAGCATTTATATTTCAGTGAGCAAGTATTCAGGGGTGGGAGTCTGTGTTTCACTCAAATTTATATGTTCGGAGGAAAAAGCCTTTTTTTTTTTTTTGTAAGATATTTAAATTTATATAAAAATGTTAGGAAAAGATATGGGGAGTGTATATTAAACTTTATTGCATGGGGCAGAGGACGTCTAGGCTCATACTCTTAAAAGAGTAGGGTCCTTAGTCTCCGTATCCACTGTGCTGTTCCTAGGACTTTCATCTGCTGCTTATTTGTGAACTGAAACCTCAGACAAGCTTGAGGGCTGAGGGGGGGGCGGGGGGGGGGGGGGGCGGCAGTCCAGGCAGGGAGGAAATCTGCCTGGAGAACTATTAAACACACCTTTCTGCCAGCCAGGACTGGTACCACAGTTATGGTTACAGACGCTTTTTAGGACGAATCATGTCAGCCATGTATGGTCCTGTCTTACCCTGTTCTTTTCTCAAGATGAGATATTCCAGAGCATAGAACTTTTTTTTTTGTTTAGTTTTTTAAGAGACAGAGTCTATGTAGCCCAGGTTGGCCTCCTCCTCCTAGTCATTGTCATTGGGCCTCTTAGAGTGCTGGGATTCCAGGCATGTATCATCCATCATGCCTGGTTCTAGAATAAAAATGCTTAAGAACTTTAATTTCATTTTTAAAGAGCCCAGTTCAAGATATTCCCTCCCCCTACTGTAGCCTCTTCATAGGGTTTGCGATTCTTTTGTCAGAATCAAGGTGGTTTCATGGGAATGATTACTGTAGCTCAAAGTGTTTACAAAGAAGCTATATTGAGGAAAAAGTCTAATGAATCAAAGCCTCTTAATAAATCTAGACTTGCAACTAGAGAATAAAGTTAACTAAAAAGTGAATGATAGTTGTTCCCTTCTTCAGTCACTAGCCCTTCATTCTTAGGATATGGAAACTGTCCTGAGTTGAGAGCATCCTGTGCATTTATTTCCTAATGGGAACTATAGTTGTATGGGTAGGGGCGCAAATGTAGACTTAGCTTATTGCTGATCAGGTGATCCAGCTCTTTACATGGAGAAGGTACCACTAAACCTGTACCCATCCTGGGCTCATGAACCTCTTCTGAGAAGCCCTGGCCCCAGTTGTTCTAGTCTTTTCCAGATGAAATGGCTCTATTTCTTCCCTACAATACGTTGTTTTCCCTGGGCCCTTCTTCATTGCCTCCTGTGGTCTGTGCTTTACTTTAAACCCCTAGGCATTCATTCTTAGGCTGAGTGCTTTATTTCTGCTGAGGCAGGGCTACAGTTATCTGGACACTGAAGAGCTTTATTTTTATTACTGGTTTTAGAGAAAGCCCTGGCTAACTCCCAGTATACTAGATTTGACCACCCACCCCAGGCAAGTTACCACAGTTGAGTAGTGAAGGCAAAGAAAGATTCATTTCATGTGGCTGTGTTGGGAAGAACAGATAAAAGGGTTCTGGAACCCCAAATTAATTTCAAAGTGTTAACGGTTTAAAAGAGGGAACAAAGGAGACAGTTGGGGTATGCACTGCTGATGAAGCAAATCATCTTGGCAGGCCAGTGGTCTGGCTGGTAATTAAGTTCAGGTCCTGTGAAAGGCTCTGGAGAAGTGGTGCTGACATCTCTTGATGGTTTCCATGACATCATCATTTCCCCCTCCAAAGTGCAACCTCATTATTGTTAGTAGTTTCTCATTTTGAGGGATAATCTGTCCTAGGAGTGTTATTTGGGAGTCACCAGTCCTGTTATTCCTCAATTCCAAAGTAACTCCCAAACAGAATGACTTAGGAGGAAAAAAAGATAAAGCCAGAGAAGGGCAAGATAGTTGCTGTCTCTTTTGCTTCCCCAGAATCCTCCAAACCAGAACACCTAGAAACACGCTGAGAGCCACTAGGTGGGCTAGGTTAACTCTGACCAGTTAGAAGGCTGGGCAAGGATGCTCTGAACTTTGTCCCTACTAGTAAATTAGCCTTGACTACGGACAGTAAGTCTTCTTACTTCTCTTACTGTTGACTGGATGGATGGATTGATTTGGCTCCCAGTTTAAACTCCATCATGACAGGGAAGGTGTGGCAGAATTCATGGGCAGGATTTGGCAGATGGTTCTCAAGCAGGGAACCTTTTCCTTGGCACTCGGTTCACACTTGTCAAGAGAATTTGCATCTCTACATGCTGGAGCTTCATTCAGTGAGTGGACCCTCAGGGCACCTTTGCCACGGCCCAGCACAAAGTGTAAGGTCTCTCTAGCTCTGTTCATCTCTAACAATTATGGATTCTTTGTCTGCACCCTCCTTTTCTACAACTTTAAACATGTTCATCCTCCTTGTTAGTGTTTTTTCTCACCAGACTGCGTAGTTTTCATCTTTCTGTTTTGCATTGTCATTATCAACCTCAATAAACACAGTGATAACCATGACACCACCCAGAGGTTAAGCTGTCTTGAAATTGCCTCTGCCAAACAACTTAATCCATTACTTTTGAATTCAGCCTTACTCAAAGACATGAGAAAAGACAAAGCCGGGTCTTTGCCAGAATGTAACACAAACAGCCTAGATCCCACTCCAGTCCTTGCTTCCCCTCTCAAGCCACATGAGCCATGCCCCCACTGGATGCATTTCTTCTTCACCCCCACTAGAGTCACCCATTAAGTTCTGTTTACAGTATTACTGTGCTCCCTTGCCTTAACTCCAGACTTTTCCACATCCCTCTTGTACACCTGTTCCAAGGCTTATACACCACATGGCAAGTTTTTCAAGTCAACCACCCTTGGCTGTCCGTCCGTACTTGTTATACCAGTAACTTTTAGACAGGTTCTTACAGGAACAAAATTCATGGGCTGTATAAAGGGATTTACAAAGAAAAGACTAGGCAGTCCAAGGATGGTGTCTGCAAGCTGGAGAGGTAGAAAACTTGGTAGCTGCTCAGGTCACAAGGCTGGATGCCTTTGTAGGCCCAATCTGGCATCAAAAGCCTAGAAGGTCCCTGGAGAGGAGTCTTGGTATTGTTTCCACCTTGGAAGGGTGAAGAAGTTGAGACTCTGAAGACAACGCCAGTGATGGATAAAGGCAGGTGTACACTTTTCCTGAGATCTTCTCTTATCTGGACTACTGAAAGTTGCCTACTGCCCACTTTGAAGGTAAGTCTTCCCTGACCAGTTATCTGCCCTGGAAACACTGTCACAGGCATGCCCAAGTGTCTTTCCCAGTTACTCTAAATCCAATCAAGTTGACAGACCAGCATATACGTGCTCAGGACTTTTTTTTTTTTTTTTTTTTTTTTGGGCAGGGAGGGTCTCACTCTGGAGTCTCCATTTGCCTGGAACTTACTGTGTTGACCAGGCTGGCCCCAAGCTCACACTGTATCCACCTGCCTCTGCCTCCAAGTGCTGGAATTAAGACACATACCACCATGTCCTTGGGACCTTTTTTTTTAAAGCAAAGCTGGAGTTTGTTCAAGTTTTAAGATGGATTTAAGCCTGGGCATTGAGGGAGATGTGTAGGAAACTCAAGATACGGACTTCTCAAAAGTTGCTGTTCCAGGGCTTCTTTTAAAGGAAACTTGAATGGATACAGCCTATGGTTTCTGATAACTAATTTCCTGATTAAAAACATCACAGCATGATTTGGGAAAACTTCAAGAGTTTTTTTTAAGAGTGTATGTAGAAATGCCTCTTCAGGTGCTAAGGGGCTTTTTGGAGTCTTCAACACAACACAGTATATACTAGGTGAAAATCAGCTTAAATAGTTTTCCAATGTGAAGTTATATATATAAAAAAATACACTGAAACACATATGAGTTTATTTGCAGCCAATCCACAGGTGAAGGCAAATGTGAATTTTGAACATTAAGTTGTAGCAACAACACGGGATACAAAGCATGAGCAGTGAGCACTGGAAACCCTTGAGCACGCCAACTGGCCTGTGGCTTCCTTATCAGTAAAACATGCTTTGTCTTGGACAGTGACGATCACTAAGGTGGTGTATTTAACACCTCTCAAAGACTTTGTATAGATCTGGCAGGTTGGCAAGCTGCAGGACATTTCCATCCTCTGTGAAATGCTTTGGAGGCAGAAGGTGTGAGCGAAAAGCTTTATAGATAATGTGCTCCACAGTCCACTTCCAGGGCTTTGGAGGAGAGCCAGGCATGTCACTCTAGAAAATACATGAAATTCATTTTATCTCCCCACATACTGGCTGTCCCACTGACATGACAGGCACTGGGCCTGGAAGGGTCTTAGTGGTGTGTAGTGGGGCTTCTGCAGGACAGTCTTGAGGATCCTACAGGTCTGAGCAGAAGCAGCAAGATTTTTGAAGAAGAAAAGAAACCAGTATTTTAAGGGACCACTGCCTACGTTTTTGTTTCCACTGTAGTGGATCTAACATTTCTGAGCCTGACTCCTGGATCATAACCAAACCTGGGGTGTCTTAAAGTAGCACTGCTCTGATACTCCACGGAGGGTAGATCTGCCTCACTGTTCCTCTCTGTGGAAGCCTTGGCTGCCCCACGTATGGTTCTTTCCCACCTGTAGTGTGGTTCCTATCAAATAAGCTTAGAAGAGTTTGTGTGTCCACTTCCACACCAGGGTGAGAGTTCCTGGGGTCTCAGCCAGCAGCCAGGGCTAGTTTCTGTTCCATCACGTAAAGTACTAGAACCTCTGAGCACGCCAGGCGTCCCAAGCAGTGGACAACATGTGCTCCATCACCAAGTGGCTGTGCACTACATCGGCTAGCCTCTGGTTCTTAGAAACTCTTGACTCTTTGCCTTCCTCTGACACGAGTGAGCATTATCATCTGACTGAAAAGTGACGAGGAGCAGGAGGAACCCAGGCTCTTTTTGTCAGGTTGGCCACTGAGGGATTATAGAGACATGGCTTCCTGGTAAAGAAGACAGAGATCAGATGCAAAGCAGGAAGAAACTGAGGGAGACAGAAGACTGGTCTAGTAACGAAGACTTGAGCCACACAGAGCTGCTAGCTTAGAACACTGATCTAAGCTCTCCCTTTTCACTGTCACAGGCACCAATCTCTATCTGACAGGCTCTCGGATTGTTCTAGAGGTCTATGTTCAAGTCCAGCAGAATGAAATACAGTTCATGAATAAAAGTTGGCCATTGTAAAGAGTTGGGTGTGCTGCTACACACTTAGAATCCCAGCACTTAGGAGGCTGAAGCAGGAGTATCAAAAGTTCAAAGCCAACATGAGCCATATGCAAATTCCTGGGTTAAAAAAAAAAGTTGAGAGCTGTTGTTTGACCCTTGTCATATAAAGTGAAACTATAGGATTTTAGAGATGGTTTAAGTTCCATATCCTAAAGTACATGAGACCCGCCCCCGTCCTGGATGCTAGTGTGCATTAATTACCACAGTACCTGCTGGCCCGAAAGGGTTGACTCCTCCAGTATATACTGCTTCCGAATGGAGTAAAACACAGCACATTCTTTACTGAGGCTTTCAAAACATTCCTTCTCTTCATCCCAATTCACCTGATCCACAGAATTCAATACAAGAAAAGCATTTAATACAGTGCTTTAACATTTCATTTATAAACATCACAGACAGACAGACACAGACACAGACACACAGACACACACAGACACACACACACACACACACACACACACACACACACACACACACACACACACACACACGCGCGCGCTGCTTAGCATCTGCTGTTATATACCTCCGTAGCCAGTCGAAGGATGAAGAGAGGCAGTCCCTCCAAAGGGGGTACATAGTTGTCAATCAGAAGAGGTAATCCAATCAGGTTCCCTTCCTGCTTGGGGAGGTGGGGGCGGAGGGCGGGGCAAAAAAGGAGGGTAAGAAATAATGGCATTAATGCTGATAGGTTTCATTTCTCTCATGTTTCTCCAAGCCCTATACTGGGTACAGGTTGTAGGATGGGCACTGTGAGACACAAGGTTAAGCATTTCAAAAGAGCCTTTGGTCAGGAACAACTTTTCCTTCTGGATCTGCTCAGAAACGTCAGGACAGACGCCCCAAAGAACAAGAGGAAGATGAAATGAAGTCAGTGGCATAGCGTCATTCTCCATGTGGCCTGTAAGGACTGGGATCTCAGCTTACCCTCCTGGGAGAGTCCTTCACCCTGGGAACAGGAACAGTGCTGTGGGCCACAGAAATATGAAGCAACAGGAATTCAGCTGACTATAGCAAAGGCTAATTAATACCTGGAAGAAGCAGGGCTCTTCCAGAGGAAAAAGCCAAGCCTCAAGGAGTCTTGGTGATACTAGCTTTTATATATGTATTAGCTTGTTCCTGCAATGATTTTCTTGTGTGCTATGGCAGCTTTCCTAATTGATTCTTTTCCTAAGAACTTCTAAGAGTGTGGGCTGATCATTCCTTGGGCATATACAACTAAGGTATTTGGATACGGTCATGCAGGCAAGGCTTTCTGCTTCCAGGCTTTCTGCTGCTTCTTTGTAGCATTAGAATTCAGATGTCCGCTTTCTGCAATTATCTCCTTTAGCAAGCACACAAAGCCAGGGCCAGCTCCAGACAAAAGCATCCAAGGACAAATGGCAGAATAAGCTCTTTAGATAACCTACTAGGTAAATATCCATACGGAGTGTAGCTAGAGTTTTCCTGCCTGGCCCACAGTCAGGACAAATCTCTCTCACCTGTCAGTCCCACAGCCGCTCAGCCTCAACCAAGTAAACACAGAGATTATATTGCTTACAAACTGTATGGCCGTACCAGGCTTCTTGCTAACTGTTCTTACAGCTTAAATTAATCCATTTCTATAAATCTATACCTTGCCACGTGGCTCGTGGCTTACCGGCATCTTCACATGCTGTTTGTCATCGTGGTGGCTGGCAGTGTCTCTCTGACTCAGCCTTCCACTTCCCAGCTTTATTCTCCTCCTTGTCCCGCCTCTACTTCCTCCTGCCTGAATACTGGCCAATCAGTGTTTTATTTACTAACCAATCAGAGCAACCCATTTGCCATACAGAACATCCCACAGCAATGGAGACACTGCCTAGGCCAGGCAGACATTAAGTACATGGCCTTGATTCTTGTGCAAATTAATAAAGGTCAGACCCTCCTTTCTTACACAGCCTTAGTGGCACCCCCAGTTTTTTCTCCTCGAACAGTTAACTCAGAAAAAAAGGGTTTTTACATACCAGGTGCATCAAGCTATGAGGCAGGTTTCCTAGCTCCAAGCAGACTTACTTACGCTGCCAGACCAGAAGCAGCAGGGCCAAAGTATTGCTGATGATAGGTGTATGGACACGGGTCACAGGCGACAAGAGGAAGGAATGAGGATGGAGATAGGAACGAAGATGAAGATGAGAACAGGATGGAAAGAACTTAGAACAGGGGGCTGGAGAGATGGCTCAGAGGTTAAGAGTACTGACTGCTCTTCCAGAGGTCCTGAGTTCAATTCCCAGCAACCACATGATGGCTCACAACCATTTACAATGAGGTCTGGTGCCCTCTTCTGGCCTGCAGGCATACATGCAGGCAGAACACTGTAATAAATAAATAAATAAAAAAAAGAACTTAGAACAATGAGAGGACAGGAGGTGAAGGGACAGAGAGGAGCTAAGTATGAGGACAGAATTGAAGCTGTGTAGATAGAATTTTGTCTCAGAAGAATAAAGTGAACAGACCTAAGAGTTTTGTGTAAGTAGATTCATTTGATATCCCTCAGATTTCTAACCCATGCCGATCGTAGTGTCTTCCCTAGGACTCTGGAAGAAATCTCCTCAGAACAGGCACCTGAGGGGATTTCGATAGAACAGTATGATGGATGACTATGGTTGTATCATCTCCAGTGCAAATGGGGAGTGGAGAAAATGTCATATATGGCACATGCTGCTTCTGAAGGGAGGCTAGCCTTTTGGTTCTAACCTAGGAACTTGACTCTTATCTGAAAGAAAGCTCAAAGGCATGCAAATAGCTGCCCCACCTCATCAATTTCCAAAGAGAAATAGTCTGCAAGCATCTCAGCTTTCTTCTTCAGAAACTCAACAATGTATTCTGCAAGTCCTTCCTTTGGGCCATCTTCCTCTGTCCAGCCACTTTCAGGACTGTCTAAGGCCAGCATGGCAAGGTCAAAGAGTGGTGCTGGTTCCTGGGAAGAAGCAAGAACATAGGTATTAGGTGGGAAGCTTGAGTCCAACAGACCACACTAAGTTCCGATACAAAGCACCAACAGCGACAGAATGCCCACTTACCATTGCAGGGTTCAATACCTCCATTACCAGCAGAACAAGTAGACAGAAAATCATTATGGAGATAGTCAACAAGCACATGATGAGCACAAGATCCACATGGCATTTATAGAACACCATAGCAAGGTAATACAGATTCTTTTTCAGATGCACAAAGAACATAAACTGATAAAACACATGCTCCAGGCCATGAAACAAGTCTCAGTAATGGGGAACACACTCAGGAATTGTCTTCAACCAAGCTAGAATTAAAGTAGAAACCAGTAACAGATTTCTGGAAAACCTCCAGGAGACTAGATGCTAAATGATGCAGACCTAAATACAGACAGCCTAGCTTACTCAGAAAGCTCCAGGTCCTAGAAAAGAAAACAATGACAAACAACAAGATGAAGTGGTAGACCCTGGGGAACAACACCTGACACTGTCCTCTGGCCCTACACACATGCACACCAATTTAAAACACCCACACAAAGCGAGAAGGGAAAGACAACATGAACAACTATCCGAGTGATAACCTGAATCTCTAATAGAGACTTTCCTATCATGGGATCTTCAAGCCCAGATTATTCTAAACAATGAGTAACAACCCTACAAAACCCTTTCAGAAAAAACAGCAAGGGAGAGCTTATGGACTCATCTATGAGGTCAACATTATCCTCTACTAAAACTATACAAATACAAAAAAAAAGGGCAGACTAGTAACACTCATGAACACAGACGAAATAACTAACTAACTAACTAACTAAATAAATAAATAAAACTTGAGAAAATGAAATCTGGCAACACATAACCAAGCAGGGTTCATCTCAGGAGTGCAGGATTGGTTTAACACATGGAAACTTGTCAATGTATTTCACTATATTAATAGTCTAAAAAATAAAAAGATCCTATCTTAGAGGAAGAAAAAGCATTTGAAAATTTTCAGTATCTATTACTAAATTAAAAAAAAAAAAGAATTTCCCCAACATCCTAAGGGCACCCACAAAACCTCTCTCCAGCTACTAGCATATTCAACAACAAAAGTGTGACTACTTCCCCAAGACTGGAAGGAGAGGGGGGTTTCCATTCTCGCCACTTCTAGTTAACCTGACTGCAAATGTCAAGACAAAGGGTGAGCATCCACTGGGTAGAAGGAGGTAAAACTGCCTTCATTCTCAATATGATGACATTTATGGAGAAAAACCCAACTCTATATAGGCACTAACCAAACTACGTGAATTTAGCAAAACTGCAAGATACAAAAATCTATGTAAAAAAAACTCATGTGCATTTCTATAGTCTGGCAATAAACATTAGAAATTGAAACTGATAAATTGCCATGTACAGTACCATAGAAAAAGTGAGACATTAAGCTAATAAAATTTATCTTTTCTCAAAAGTTATCTACAGATGCAATACAATCTTAAATTTCCAAAGGCTAAATTAAAATTTGGCACCAAAACCTTCTTGGAACAGATGAGCTAGAATCGTTAGAGGTTTATAGTAAAGTCCAATGGCAGAGTGAGCGCCTCCTACAGTGACACACAATAAAGAAGAAGCAAACACACACCCCATCCCTGTTCCAGCTATGGGTTTAGAGAATATTTCTACTTTTAATTTCAAGTAAATATGTAGTAACATCTATAACAAGAAGCATTTGTTTAAGCTGACTATGAAAGTAACTATTTACCTGAAAAGATTCAACCAAAAAACTTTATTGATACAAACTCTTAAACATACTTTGGAGAGTTTACATTTGCTAAGTAGTAAATCACTGTATAGCTCATACTCTGAGAAGCAACCAGCTGCCATTTCAGAAGTGAGGAGGAAAGAAACTTACCGATAACCTTAGAACACCAAAATTGGCAAAATCATAAATGAGTATCTGGTAGAACAGCTCTTCACTGAAAATAAAAATGAAAGACTTTAAGAAAAATAAATCTGTGCTTGAGGGCCGAGCAGCAAGGACAGAATGGGACAAAGATGCTGCTGCCTGGCTGTGAACCTGGCTAAAGAGGTCTTCTCTACGTAAAGCACTGGGATTGCTAAGGGGACTCCTGCCTGGACTCTGCAGCCATCCCTCCCAGACAAGTTCAAACACAGGCTGGCTCACCTCCTCCTCTCTAGTGCTGTAAAGGCTTTAGACGCTGCAATGAAACCTAAACCACTGTCTGCAGACCTTGCCCTAATAGAGCCCTAGAGATTACCCTCTGACAACTCACCATTAAACACCACAGGGTGCAGTACTTGCCTTGCTTATGAAGGCCTGGGTTTCATCCTCAGCACCACAGAAACAGTTATATGGGAAAAAAGTATATGGGGCATTTAGAAAGGGCAGCTTTCCCTGAATCGTCAGAAATGGACCCTAAGGCAGAATTATACTGCACTGATTTTTTGGGGGGAGGGATGAGGTGGGATAAAAGGTCTTGCTATGTAGCCCAATCTGGAACTCACAATCATTCTTTACCTACACCTGCCAAGTGCTGGGATTGTAGCTGTTTGCCCCACGTCTGGAAGTGCATTGATATTTGAGTTAGAATGTTGCACTGGCTGATAATAACCCAAGAACAGCAATCAAGTATGCATACTGAATTACTAATAAAAACCACATTCTTCTTCACATGCAAATCCTAGCCTACAGTATAAATATGTAAACAAAGTATATGTGGGTACAGTATAACATGTAGAAAGGAGAACAAGGAAGGCTAAATATTAGGGGCTGAGAAAGACCTGAACACAGGTAAATGGCACAAGTCATGAAGGAAGACACAAAGCTAATTGTTTTTCTAGTTCCCACAGTCATGGTGTGGAATTTTCTACTTCATGAAATCAGCGTAGATGGACTGTGGATTTCAGATTCAGGGTGTCAGTAAGAAGCTGCAATTCTGGTACTAGCCATGACTGCTACTGTGAGATGAAAGAAGGTGAACACAGGTGAGCTGTAGAGACACGCAAGTCACACACTCACATGTGCTAGAAAAGTAAACGCAGGGAGAGAGGAGTTCCCAATAGCCCAGCTCACGGCCACTGCTGTGGTTTGAAGGCCAGCACTCCACCACGGGGTGCAGCTGGCAGACTAAGGAAAAGGGCAGGACTAGAGCTTCGGCCTGAGCTCTGGCATCTGGACTGCTGAGGTCATGTATCCAGCTGTCTCACACTCCTGCTGCCAGGAGCTGTTCCCACACAAGACCTTCCCCACCATGGCAGACTGCATCAGAATGCAGCCCAGATAAACTTATCTTCCCTTACGCTGCTTCTCACCATGTACTTGGCCACAGAAACAAGAAAAGGAGCTAACACACTGAGTAAGTCAGTCCAGTGAAACTTAGCACTATGCCAAAAAGGCTCCCAACCCAAGAATGACTGAATTCTGGAGAAAGTACTTGTGCCAACAGGGAGCTTTAGGACTGGGGCTGCTTCTAGATTAGAGATGGCGAATAGATTTTTAGCCCATGTACCATGTCGATGCAGTGTACAGTGTCTATTTCATTTGTAAGACCAAGAGGCACTCTGAGGTCACAGAAAGGCTTAGAATGGAAGTCCTAGAGGAGATAAGCGATACACAGTGGACACAGGCAGCAGCACCCTCCCATATACATCACCTATTTGAGAATACACTGACTACAACCTCTAGATGTAACAGATTCTCAAAGTCCCTGGAAACAAAAAATGTCACCAGGTGTCAACACGGTGAATGGCAGTATTGGGATTACCTTTCTCATGTTGTGCAATAGCCTGACTTTGGTAGCTAGAATATAAGCTTTTGCTGCATTCTCAATGCCAAGAGAGAGGCATGGGCTTCTTTCTCTTGCCTCCCTGTAACCCTGTTGCACATAAGAGACACCAGATCTCTAGCACAAAGCCCACATCAGTTGGTTATAGCCAACATTTCCTGAGCGCTGAGCCAAGGTCTGGGCTTCTCTAGTCATTTATCCCCATAAAATATCAATCAAATTTAGTCTTACTATCCTGATTGACAGGTCAGATACATGAGATACGGTATAGAAAAGAAATTTCCCATGATGGAAATGGAAAAAGGTTGAACCTGGATTTGAACTCATGTCTGTGACTCTCAAGGCTATATCTATATCTGTCCTTTCCAGCCACCTCACATGTCCCTCTCCCCCCAACACCCAGCTTTGGTGCCTGTCCCCAGAGACACTCTTCTGGTGGCTCCACTGCTGTCACACAGATTTACCTAAGTTTGGTAGTGTTGAGGAGGTATAGCTTGGTCTGGTGCTGTGCCAAGGCCCACTGAGGATTTACACAGCCCACAAAGGAATGGTTATGGAGCATCTCCCGGAGAGCTGGAAAACAAAACAAAACAAAACCCATGTAAGTAATGGAATCTCACTAAACACTTCTTCACACCCCAAGCCCTGCACAAGCAAAGATGCCTCAACCAGGTCTCCTGCCGAAAGAAACCAAATGTGGAACGACACACAATTTGCCTCTAAAGATGTACAGAGGAGTTGCTAAAACATTAAGGGATATACAGGGTCAAAAATGAAAGGCAAATTAGAAAGCCAGATATTTGACAAGATTTCTGAAGCCAGCTTACCCAAGAGTGAAAGGCTCCTCCAGAATTGGAACCTTCAGCTTTCATGGGCACTGACAGTGGGAAAAGGAGGACAGATAAGAATGTTTGAAGGGACTGGAGAGATGGCTCAGTGGTTAAGAGCACTGACAGCTCTTCCAGAGGACCCGGGTTCATTTCCCAGCACTCACATGGCAGCTCACCACTGTCTCTAACTCCAAGATCTGACCTGCCCCCACACACAGACATGCATGAAGGCAAAACAAACACCAATGCACATAAAAATAAATAAATTATACACACACGCACACATTTATAAGAAACGGTTTGAAATGGGGGGGGGGGGGTCTGACAGACTAATGCCCACAGCTGGAGCTGAATTTCCAAGAACTGTACCCTGTCCATAAAGGGAAGCAATACCTGTGTCCATTCTTCAAACATCTGATGCTTCTGTGTTGGCAGTAAAGAAAAAGAAAAAAACAACCAAACCAAAACAAATCAAAACAAAACCCCTGACAGCCAGAGTGTACAGCCATAAACTCATCTTCACATGCTTCTAACAGGCAGAAATGATGGCAGACAGAATGCCTGAGAACCCTAATGGAGATAGTGGTTTATACTAATACCAGGCTTCAAGTAATCCCCCAAAAAGGTACTATTAACTAGCAGCTCTGTGCGTGTGTGAGTGCAAGTGCAATCTACTTTATAAAAGAGAAACAGGAAACCAAGTTTCGGAATCCAAAAACAAGCCCAGAAGACCTACAATGAACAGCCTTGGAGCCTGGAAACACTGCCAAGAACACGTACACTCAGAACGCTCGATAACCACGCTACGATGGCGCAGGACACAACTGCAGACATCACGTGGACTCAGAAGAACCAGCAGGACTTCAGAACACCGAGAAGGATGACAGCCGAGACAGCGGCAGGCAACAGACTAGACCACGTCAGTGGACTAAAGACAGTCTCACAGGACAGCCCAGAAAGGCAAAGAGAAGACGTGAGGACAGCACGAAAAAACAAAACTTAAGTCCAGAAGGGGGTGGGGTGGAGCTAATATCTGAAAATACTCAACAGTATCTCACAAAGATGAAAAATGTCATCTTGCCTCAGTTCTAAGAAATGCAAATAAAACCCCCAAAACAAGGCCGGGCGGTGGTGGCGCACGCCTTTAATCCCAGCACTCGGGAGGCAGAGCCAGGCGGATCTCTGTGAGTTCGAGGCCAGCCTGGGCTACCAAGTGAGTTCCAGGAGAGGCGCAAAGCTACACAGAGAAACCCTGTCTCAAAAAAACCAAAAAAAAAAAAAAAAAAACCAAAAAAAACAAAACCCCAAAACAAAAAAGAAAAAAACCCCAAACCAAACATCACCCCTTTCAACACTCTCAACTATATTCAAAAGCTACTGGGGAGTGGGGAACTAAAGAGCACTTAAATGCACTCAGAAAGAAAAGGGAGATTACCATGAGTATTAAATATTTGACTCATGGCTGAATTTTCAACAGTAGAAATAAACAAAAGTGATTTTGAGAAAACAAACTCAGCTTGTCTTGGCCGCTGTTGCTATATTTGTGAGTTTTCACTGTCATGGCTGTAATTATGCCCATAAAGACCATTACTTTCTTCACATGGGGAATAAGCAAAGCACCACCCCACCCATCTCCTACCCCAGTCCACTGGAAACTCCGTATCTTTACAGGATGTTCTGTGTAGGTGGAGATGATTATTTTTAAAGCTGGAAAGCATCAAATAGTCTAGAATAACGAGCCACTGGAGGAGAAAGAGCAGTATAGCCCCCTGAAAGGAGGCCAGAGTTCCTGAGAGGAATATTCACGGTCTCTCTAATCATCTCCAGCCAGCAGGAAGGCAGAATCCACGTCAGCTGGCCCAGCACAGGGCCTTTTCACAGAACGCCAAGGGCCTGTACTTTATCCCATCCAAACTGTTCTTCCAGCCCTAGATGGTTTCTCTATGTGTTTTCCTCCATTCTGCAAAGACCAAAATGGAGAAAAATCCTTCTTTGATATCAAAGCTAAACCATACATCCTACTTCAAAACTGAGACTGTGGGTTTTGACATATTCTCAGCACCAACAGATAAAGCTAAGCTAAGGAGGGATCTTAGCGCAGAGGCTCTGCCTCGCCTCCCAGGCCTCAGGGGGTAGGGTGGTTACTGCTTATTTGCCCTTCTGCCTGATGGGGCAGCAAGGTTCATTAAACAATCTGTGCGACCCCATTCATCTCAGCTACCACTCCAAGTATGGTGCAACACACTGCACAAATTAACTAACTAATATCATGTTACAAATAATTAACTGATATGTGGCACATCAGTTCCTGTGAAAACCAGGTTAACAGTGTCCACATCTAATCCAAGACTGTTTACCGAAGAACAATACACTGACCGGACTTTGTATTTAAATAACAGGTGAGCCTACCCACAAAGGACATTGCTAGTACCAGCTCACTGTGCTTGGCTGTTCTTCTTTGTGTGTTTTGGTTTGTTTTATTTTTATTTTATTTATTTATTTATTTATTTATTTATTTATTTTGGTTTTTCGAGACAGGGTTTCTCTGTGTAGCTTTGCGCCTTTCCTGGGACTCACTTGGTAGCCCAGGCTGGCCTCGAACTCACAGAGATCCGCCTGGCTCTGCCTCCCGAGTGCTGGGATTAAAGGCGTGCGCCACCACCGCCCGGCAAAATGTTTCTTTTCTTTTTTTTTTTTTTTAACCTGGGAGCTGAGGACCGAACCCAGGGCCTTGCTCTTGCTAGGCAAGCATTCTACCACTGAGCTAAAGTCCCAACCCTTATTTTGTTTTTGACATGAAGTCTTACTATGTTATGTCGTCCAGGCTAGCCTAGAATTCCTAGGCTGAAGTGATCCTCCTGCCTCAGTGGTGAGGACTCAATGCAAGGACCACCATGCCAGGCCAGTTTTAGATTGTCCAGATATTTCCATGTAATCTGTTTTTCCTTTCCTCATCTCTTCATCTTTCCATTTTTGGTCTCTAAAATAGAAGATGGAAGCATGTGCTCTCTCCAAAGACTATTTGAGAATTAAGATAGAAAGTGTGCATGGATATATATTTTTAGGTCACTTAGAACCATCATGTTGGCCTCAGCAAGACTCTAAATAACTATGACCACACTTGACACAGGCTGATTTTACCCTGTACCAAAAAGTTTATTAGTTAAAAATATCACTGAAATGATCTTTACTGACCTCCAAGCATGAGGGAGATTATCTAAAACCACTCTGAGGAAAGCTGCTGAAGAAATCACGCAGCGGCCCATCTTTCTTATGCAATTTAAAACCGCTTTCAGAGCTCCTGGCGTGGAGAGTAACTCAAAGGAATGCACTACCACAACACGTCACGGAAATAACAATCAGGAGCCAACTGGCAACGTGTGCAATGGGCAGAAGCCCAGTCACAGGAAGACGTTGTGCATCACATGTAACTGGACAGAATGAGGGCTGGGGTGAAGAGACCGAGCAGACACATATGGAGCAATACATGAATAAGTTCAGGCCTTCCCGTGTCGGCTCGGACCATGGTGACAGAGATGGAAACTGAAGAGGCTGACACGGGGCGGCTATGGCAGAGGGTTCAGGCTTAGTGGATGGACTAATTTGCTCCTGAGCTGTACAATCTTTTCAAAAAGTAATCCAGGGGGCTGACATGGTGGCAGATGCCTGTAATCCTGGACCTAGGAGGCAGAAAACTCAAGGCTAATGTGGGCTACAAACTGAGTTCTAGGCTAGCCTAAACTATAGAGTGAAACCCTGTCTCAAAACAAAACAAAACACAAAGTAACAATGCAGATGATCATAATTTTTTTTTTTAATTGGTGGGATTTGTTTTTGCCTAATAGAACTTTCTTTTTTTTAAGATTTATTTATTTTGTATTTTGTATGCAGTGTTCTGCCTGTGTGTCTGCCTGCAGGCCAGAAGAGGGCACCAGATCTCATTACAGATGGTTGTGAGCCACCATGTGGTTGCTGGGAATTGAACTCAGGACCTCTGGAAGAGCAGCCAGTGCCCTTAACCGCTGAGCCATCTCTCCAGTCCAACAGATGATCATAACTTATATTTTATAGTAATAGTGAAATTGATTGATTTTTTTCTGCATTTATTTGTTGTGTGTGTGGGTGGGTGGTGGTCACGCACATACCACAGTGCACATGTAGAGGTCCGAGGACAACTTTCAGGAGTTGGTTTTCTTTTTCTATCATGTGGGTCAGATTATCGAGTTTGGTGTTTTTACCCAGGGAGCCATCTTGCAGGCCTTTCGGATTTATTCATGACAGATGAAAACGGAAAGGTCACAGCTAGATGACAGATTCAAGCACAGAGCTGCCACCTGGAGCCTGCAAGATACCCACACTTGGAAGAGTAGCTCCTCATAGGTGTGGAACACGGCTGTGAGGGCAGCACGGCTGTCACAGCTGGCCAGCCTCCTTACACATCTAATTACTGACTCGGTCCTCCACTCACTTCTACAACCTTCCGGCTAGTTTTCTATTAACAGGGACCAGGATGAAGTCTGGTACTCAACTACTCGCAAAAGCTACTTCTGAGGATAACAAGGAAGGACTTAATCAGCCTTCAGGATATAAAAATACCCCGTTTTCTCAACAAGTGTCTTACTGGTTACTTCTAATCAGTTGGTGATCTTCTAAGGTAAATCAATCTCACATTCTGAGGCACAGAACAGCTAAGTCAGAGTGTGAGGTCACATGGTGAAAATGGAGTTGAGGATTTGAACTCCAGCAGCACGACCTGCCAAGTCTCAGCTAAGCACACCCCACTTGACAGGATAAATACTTCACTGCTTATTCACGACGCTGCTTTTAGCAAAAACAGAAACAAAGCAGAAATTGCCGCAATGACCACAGTGGCTACCCTCTTTCATTAATAGGAATACCAGTTATGTTTGCTTACAGCCCTTCTCTTCCTCCTGAGAACGGTCTCCTGTGTAAGGGGAAACAGCCTGTCCATGCAGCGCCCGGCAGTGCCCACCTGACAATATGAGTGCTTTCTACATTTCCAAAACCCTGAGTGCCACACACACCTCAGCACTTACGTACTCTCATGGCCTCGCTCATTAATTTCTTCCTGGAGACTCAAGACACTGGTGAGGTTAATGATCCTCCTCCGGGGGTAACAGGCAGCTGTCATTTCCTTCGGGGAGTCATTTTCCATCATCTCCACATCAGAATCTTCCCGATGTCTCTTTCTGCAATGAAAGGAAAGAACTGACAGGCTGTCCTGGAACTCACTCTGTAGCCCAGGCTGGCCTCGAACTCAGAGATCCACCTGTCTCTGCCTCCTGAGTGCTGGGATTAAAGGCATGTGTTACCACTGCCCGGCTCCATTTTATTTTTTAACTCAGCCAGTGTATGTGTTGAACTTCAGAGAAATAAGCAGCGTCTATGTGCTGGTGGCCACTTCCACATGCTGTGCTATGGCAGGCCAGTAGCTGTCCTGTGTCACACTACCTATCTGACAACCCTCAGATCTCAAGGGCCTTGAGCAAGTAAATAGACCTTGTCAAGCCTCATTCATTCATGAATCATTCTAAGATCCATCCATCTGTCCATTCACCCATCCACCTGACACTGATACGTACCAACTACATACAGTGGTGAACACATTAGAAAAGGGAAGCCCTCGTGCTTACTGTCTAGCAGGAAAGGTAGCAACAGAAAGACTTTTAAAATCCAATTTTAAATGCTTAATTAAAAAGTTCTTTTATGTGTATAGCTGTTTTGCCTGCATGTATGTCTGTACACCACATGCATTGCTGATGCCTATAGAGGCCAGAGAGGGCACTGGATTCCCTGGGAGTAGAGTTACAGACAGCTGTGACCCACCATGTCCTAGGTGCTAGGAATCATGGGTCATCTATAACCTGGGTCATCTGTAAGAACAGCCAGTGCTCTTAACTACTGAGCCATCTTTCTAGTTGAAGAAAAAAGTTTTAATAGTGGCAGATGCTAGGAAGAAAATACAAGGCCGTATAACAGACTGATGGGAATGTATGAGGGAAGGGATCTTTTTGTCTGAATGGACAACATGGTGGTTTGAGTGAGAATGACCCCCATATCTGAACACTTGGTCCCCAGTTGGTAGAACGTTTGGGAAGATTAGGATATATGGCCCTGTTGGAAGAGGTGTGTCACTGGGAGCAGGCTTAAGGTTTCAAAAGCCCACAGCAGGCCCAGTCTCTCTCATTCCGCCTCCAACTTGTAGATGAGATATAAGCTCTCAGCTACTGCTCTAGCATCATGCCTGCCTGCCTGCCTGCTGCCATGCTTCCTGCTATAGTGATGGTAGACTAGCCCTCTGAACTGTAAGAAGCCCCAAATTAAATGCTTTTTCTTTGTAAGTTGCCTTGGTCATGGTGTCTCCTCATACCAACAGAAAACTAAGACAGAATGCCTTTGGGAAAAGGTGACATTTGAGCTGAGACATGAGTGACAAAAGCCCAGAGTTCCAGGCTGAGGAACACCAAGGGCAGTAAAAGGATCTAAGAGTCCAGGCCAGTCCCAAGGGTCATGTGACTACAATACTGCAAGAGGGAAGAGGGAAGCAAGGTGAGATTTAAGCTATCATCCTATGTGTAATGGGAAGCCTGGGAAAGCTTTCAGTGGGAGGAATATAACCCTCTTTTTCTTTAAAGTTTTTTGACTGCCCTGTGATAAATAGCACCCAGTTCCCCAAATGATGAACAAATGTAATATTTCCTTGGCAGGGTAAGAGCATTAAACAAGATAATACATATAAAGTACCCAGCTTGAAAATACCTGCATCACTTATTCTCTGGTAAAACTTCCTTAGAAGCTGCCTTGGTAGGCCAACGCAGGAACGAGCAAACCGGAGTTAAACAGTACGTCCACATGCAATGTTCACTCCGGTGCCAGAGCTCTTGATGGCACCTCCAGATCATGCACCTCGGGCAAGTGGTTTTCAATTGAGCACCAGGTCACTGCCAGCTCATGACATGACGACTGGCCACCTCATGAGCCTCATGGGACTCGGTATTTGGGAACTTGTCAGAGCACGCATTAGAAGTGCTCACGGTTAAATGGCCTTTTAATTACTCTAGCTCCACACTAACTCTTCTCTCCTGGGCTTACAAACGTCAGGGAACTCTGTAAACTGGGCTGCTTCGGAAGGGAGCAACAGCAGCTGTGGCGAGGATGGAGAGCCATTTCAGGCTTTTCTCTTCAGTCATACTGGGGGTCAAGGGTTTGCCAAGTGCTTTCTTAAAAAAAGTCGCGGGGGCTGGAGAGATGGCTCAGCAGTTAAGAGCACCAGCTGCTCTTCCAGAGGCCCTGAGTTTAATTCCCAGCAACCACATGGTGGCCTACAACCATCTATAATGAGATCTGGTGCCCTCTTCTTACCCGCAGGCATACATGCAGGCAGAATACTGTATATATAATAAATAAATAAATCTTTAAAACAAAAACAAAAAAAACAAGAATCGCATCTGTGCTCCTTCCAATGTGTTACTAAAACATAAAACCACGAACATGTAAGACTCTCATAGGAAACCACGTGAGCCACTGTCAAATGCACACAGTAGCAGAAGGCACAAATGATTTGTGGAGAACCTGCTAGAAGACAGTTTTAATGGAGAACAAAGGAGGCCACACCTGGGGTTGCCTGGACTGGAAGAGGGTGCTGCTTTTTGTACTGCTTCAGAAACCCCTCTTACTGCGTCCCTCTCCAAGTTCTGACTGACGGCAGCTGCTTCAGTCGGGGCTGGGAGCTCAACCATCTCCTCATCCTTCTGCACGGCTTCTTCAGGAGGGCCCTCTGTTCTACCCCCTTGGACAGGGTCCTGGGGCTGGCTGGGCAGAACCTTGCTCATAGGCTGTAGAAAGGCGTCAAGCTTCTGGTCCCGGGAGTCTGTACGGACCATCTGGTAAGCATAGACCTTGTCACCACTTCCACTAGTACATGAGGAAGTCACACCTGTCGTGGATTTAACCACCTCCCCAGAGGGTCCAGCAAGTCCTGGAAGCAAGGTCTGTTTCAGAAGAGAAGACAGAAGAAAGGGTCAGACTTTAGCACAGAAATATCCAGATCCCAAAAAAGAACAGTACTGGATGAAGACATCAGAGCCAGATGGAGTTATATCAGGTATCAGTGCAGAAGCAAATTTCATTAAAGGAGTATAAAACGTTCATAAGCATAAAATTCAAAAATTAAGCAAAGTTCTTATAATCTTAAAACTAGGTTGAAATAAAAAGTGAAAAATTTTTATATTTTGTCTATTTTTCTACTATAAAAAGATTCTATTTTATTTTATATGGTAAAACACACACAGCATAAAACATACCATTTTAAACTATTTTTAAGCTAGAATACCATGGCAGTGAATACATTCACACAGCTGTGCATCCATTTCGCCCCTCCCAACTCACACTAGACTTCCCATTCCCTCCGCATCCCAGGCCCTGGCAACTACCATTCCACGTGTGGGTTTTTGTTGTTGTTTTTTAATTTCTTTGTCAGGGGACTGACCCAGGCCTCTCACATAATAAACGCGTACTCTACCACGCACTGAACTATAGCCTGAGAATTCTACTTTTGTTTTTTGTTTTTTGAGACAGGGTTTCTCTGTGTAGTTTTGGTGCCTGTCCTGGATCTTGCTCTGTAGACCAGGCTGGCCTCAAACTCAGAGATCCGCCTGGCTCTGCCTCCCGAGTGCTGGATTAAAGGTGTGCGCCACCACCGCCCAGCGAGAATTCTACTTTTAAATACACTTCCTTCCTTTATTCTGTCCACTAGTGTATAAAAACCAGTGACTACCCAGAAGCAGGGGTCCCAGATTCTAGTTACCAAATACCAATCCCACTGTGAGAGACCCAGAAAACTCCCCTGAACTCCCCAAGACTCACTGTGATGGAGGGGGACACATTTATGCCTTCCTCAAGAGGAAGGTAAAACGTTCAACAGAATCTCCTGACGTCTTGATGTTCATAATTTAAACACAGGGAGAGAATGACAGGGACAAAGCCCAGCAGGGAATGATTCTGATGCAGCCACTCTGGATTCCAGCCCAATGTACTCCTGCTGTGGGTGCAGGGACTTACCACCCAGGTTCAAGTTTCCCTGTGTGCTCCCCCCGCCCCCCCAGGAAAGCTTCAGCCCTATCCCATTCACCCACAGCAGAAATATGCCCAGTGATTTGGCTCCTTCTCACCAAAAAGAGGAAGATGGACACATGAATGAACCCAACGAAGGACATCTTCAGATGAAGAATTACTGGTATAAAATGAATGGGAGGGGCAGGGTGACAGTCATTTGGCAAACTGATTGTAGGTTGTGATTCAGGAAGTTCTGAGCCAAATCAACAATGATGTGAATGTACTTAACACCACTGATCAGTACATATGGTCAAATGCCTCAAATGCTAAATTCTGTTATGTCTCTTTTAGTCATAGTTTGTAACATCCAAACATCACCACTTGGATCTCATCTCACCGGAGTATGAGAATTTACAACACTGTGAGAGAGGGCCACTGGCAGTATGGAAAACTAAGATATGATGATATGGCTTTTTTTTTTTTTTTTTTTTTTTGAGGGATCAAACCAGAATGAACAAAATTTACAAGTGAAAAGATTCTAGACTAAAGAATGTTTTTAAGGGGCTGAGAGATGGCTCAGAGGTTAAGAGCTACTGGCTGCTCTTCTAGAGGACCTGGGTTCAATTCCCAGCACCCGCATGGCAGCTCACAACTGTCTGTAACTCCAGTTCCAGGGGATCCAACAGCCTTACACATACATGCATGCAGGCAAAACACCATTGCACATAAGGTAAAAATAAATTAATTTAAAAAAGAAGCATGTTTTTGTGTCTGAATATAGTTATGCCTCTAGATTTCCAACTCAAAGGCAATACAGAGGATCAGAGAGAGTTAAATAACACCACAAAGAAACAATCAGTCAATCCAAATGCACATTATGCTACAGGAAACCTAGAGAAGTCAATGAGAAGAGCATTTTTTAAAAAAGGAGAAGCCAGGACTGCCAAGATGGCTCAGTGGGTAAAAGTGCTTGTGGCCAAGCTTGACAACCTGGGTTAAGTCCTGGAAGTCACATGCGAGAAGGGGAGAACTGACTCGGAAAGTTACCTTCTGATCGCCACATGCTCACCATAGGACATGTGTATATCCCCACAGATAAATAAACGAAAGGGAGTGGCTTTACTTAATTCAAAGAGACTGAAGAGACTTGAAGGCAGGCCTGGTGGCGCACATCTGTAATCTCAGTTCTTGGGAGGCAGAGGCAGGAGGATCAGAAGTTCAAGTTTCCTCGGCTACAAGCAAATTCAAGGCCAGCCTAGGCTATGAAACCCTGTTTCCCCCAAAATAATAAATACACAAAGAGAGCACCAACTTAAGAGATTTAAAAAATGTAAGAACCAAATATTATGACTAGACATCACTAGATACGGATGTGAACACAGCTGGTATTAAATGGACTCTCTCGATAATTAAGACATTTGAATATAGACTAAGTAGTAAATGATGTTATTGCTATTAATTTTATTAGGTGTAGTATTTATATTATGTTATATAAGAAACTTCTTAGATGTATACTGAAGTATTAGGAAGAAATCAATGTCTAAAATGTGCTTTCATATATACTTTCCCCTTCACTAAGCAAGATAGGAATAGGTAAACCAGCAGGGCAAACGCTGGTGCTGTTAAAGCTGGACAACAGGTATATGTACCATTTAATTTTACCTGTGCTTAGAAATATGCATAACAACAAAAACAAAGTAACAACAGCTCTATTCAAAAGGGACACCTTTCTTTGAAGACAGTCACAATGCAGAAGAGGGGCTGGGAGGATGGCTCAGTGGCAGGAACATCTGCTGTGCAAGCATGAGGACATGATTCAAATGCCTGGCACTCAAGTAAAGTCTGGCCTGGCTACAAGCATCTATTACCCAATCACTGAGGCAGAGACAGGCAGATCCCGAGATCCCACTTGCCCGTCAGCCTCGCTCAGAGAGCACCAGTTCAGGGGAAGCCAGGCTCAAGGCAATAAGGAGATAGAAAAAAAATTCAACATCCTTCTCTGGCCTCTGCATACAAGTGTGTGGATGCATGACCTGCACACATGTGCATGGCACACACACACACACACACACACACACACACCCCAGAGAAAAATGTTACTGAAAGAAAAATATCAAAGCAGATAATCAAAGATAATTCAAAATTACATTAAAAAAAATCTGAGTTTTTATGATGTGGAACACATTTTAAAGCAGCAAAGGCTCAGAGAGACAACGGAGGTAGATGCCCTCACCTGGGTGAAATACATCCTGGACGAATTGGAGCCCAACAGCTTGCCCTCAATATGCTGTTGCACACGCTCAAGGATACTCTCTTCATGCAGAAAGTGAACTTCATGCTTGGTGGGGTGCACATTGACATCTACATTCTGGGGACTGATTTCCAAACTGGAGAGAGAGAGAGAGAGAGAGAGAGAGAGAGAGAGAGAGAGAGAGAGAGAGAGAGAGAGAGAGAGAGAGATCACAAAAGATGGGAAAATCTCCATGTGGTGACTAGACAATTCGGAGAGGCCCAATCACCACAGCCTCAAAGTTCAGGATCAAGTCAGAGAGACTGAGTGCCACCTCTGGTATTGAGGAGCTGTGCCTCATCTTTCTTGGCCTTAGTTTCATTTATAAAGTGGACACAATAGCTCTCCTCACTGTACAGATTTACAGTGGGAATTAAGTATATACAAGGCACCTTACATGGGTATGGTAGTTATTACAGGTCAGCTGTCAGCTCTCTAGAACTGCTGGATTGTGACCTCAGGCAAGTACCTAACTTGTCTAAATGTTTTCTCAGCTTTAAAGATAGGGTAACTATCAAACTGTCCCCTCCACTCACTTTTCAGGGAAAAAACAAAAAACAACTTGCTAGTCAACTCAGAGTTCTTACGCCCGCTCCAAGTCCATCTGTCATGGCTTGCTGATAACGGAGCTTTGTGATATGAAGCTCTGTCAGTAGAGGCCACTACAGGGATGACAGGAGGAGTTTCCTAAGCCAGTTTTAGGAACAAGTCTGTCAGACTTCTTGCACACCAAGCCAGTGGCAAGTCATTTCTTCTGGTAGGCAATACACCCCCACAGCAGTTCCTCAGTGTGGAGAGGAGTGCCTGTCCCACTTCTCCCCAGGGCAGCAAGCCACAGTGACATTCTTTCGTTGGGCTTTATCTCAGCCCCAGGGGAACGGATGCTCTCTGCACCTGTTCTCCTGTCACTCATCTCTTACTACTCAGCTCCCTGATTTGAATTCAGTATGTCATTTTTTACAATAAACTTTCCTTGTTCTGTTGCATGATTTCTATCTCCTGTTTAGATCCCACGTAGTACAAAGACAGAACACTGATGACATTATGGATTCATTACCCAGCGAAGAAACATAAGATGGAGTCAACAACTGCACATTAAATCTAAAAACGACTTTAGTCTATGGCCACAGCACCCTGACCGTGCCTGATCTCATCTCAGAGCCATCATGAACATGGTTTTTATTCTTCTTCTCATTTCCGTAAGAGCAGAACAAAGACAACTTTTTTGAGAGAGGTTCCTGCTACACTGGCCTGGAACTTAAAATTCTCCCGAATGCTGGGATTATAGGACTGTTCTAGAAGGCTCAGCTAAGAATGAACTTCCAACACAGTTTCTGCCAGAAGGCTAAGGTTTCAAACCTCAAAGATCTCAGTATGAACTGGGCCTTTGTGTAGCTTTGTTGCAAAGAGAATGGTCACTCTTGGTGCTGGTTTTTAAACGTTTCTTCAGACAAGCAGAACAAGAAACAAGGAAGAGACCCTGACTTTTTTGGGGGTGTTTGGTCTGAATAAGGCAAGCCCTAAACTATGTGTGGTAACTGAAAAATGACTGCCAAATTATTTAAGTAAGCCACTGGGATCTGCCAAGCTAAGTCAAGAACCCTACAGGAAGGCAGGTAGGCAAAGGCAATTAGCATGCAGCCCCACCAACCAGAATCCATAGAGACGAAAGGAGAAAACCGACCCCACAAAAGGGCCTTCGGACTTCCACATGTGTCCTGTGCCCCGTGCTTGCTTTTCTGCTCTCTCTATCCTCTCCAGTAAATACACAAATAAAATCTTTAAAAATGTTTAAAGACTCCCCACAGGGCAGGATGCTGTTCCATGACCCCAGCAGGAGGAACCACAGACTCCCAACATGAGAACTGGGCCATTTTCCAGGGGGAGGGACAGAGCATCCTTTCACCAGCAGTGCCCAGGATCTGCCCGGGCTGAATACTGCTAGGCAATCTCTTTCATGGAGGGACACTAAGGATCTCAGAGAGGCTACATTACATTACCTGAGGTACAGGAATGGGTGTGTGTTTTTGGGCAAATATGCAGCGTATACAGTTTCTATGGCTTTTCTCAAGGCAGCTGATTCTACCAACCGGTCTGAAAAGCAAAAGGAGAGTAACCAGTTCAAAATTATCCTTCAAGACGAGGCCACAGGTGCATCATGAAGTCACCTTGGGAAGAACACCTCTGCAGTGACAACCTTATCAGACGCCCTTTATCCGTCACCACTTCCCAGCATCTCCTACAGGTTTGGGGCTCTTCCTCTCATCAAGCAGCAGAAAAGATGAGAGGGTGTCCAATTCTGCCTCCTCACTCCTTTTCCCCATAAGCTCTTGCACACTAGCTTTGCTGTCTCAGCAGTTCTCAGATGTTTTAATCCACAAAGACAAAGCTACCAATCACACACGGCAAAAGCTGAGAGATACCCTAGCGGTGAAAACTAATGCCAGCCACGGGGCCAGCACTACCACAGAGATGTGTGTGACACACGCGAGATGAGAGCTCAGCTAACTCCGCCCAAGGAGTTCCAATATGAGGGTTCCTGCAGGTGGTCTTTTTACTCTTTGGGGGCCTGCCACCCAGCTCCCAAATAAATACAGAGACTTATTCTTATTTATGAATGCCCAGCCTTAGCTTGGCTTGTTTCTAGCCAGCTTTTCTAACTTAAATTATCCTGTTTCTCTTTAACTATGTTTTGCCTCTGGGCTTTTTACCTTTATTTTTATATATCTTTCTTTCCTTCTTACTCTGTGGCTGGCTGTGTGGCTGGGTGGCTGGTCCCTGGCATCCTCCTCTCTCTCCTCTTTTCCTTGCTCTTTGTGCTCTCTTCCCTAGATTTCTCCTCTTATTTATTCTCTCTGCCCAACAGCCCCACCTACTTCTCTCTCCTGCCTAGCTATTGGCCATGTAGATCTCTATTAGACCAATCAGGTGTTTTAGACAGGCAAAGTAAAATAGCTTTACAGAGTTAAACAAATGCAAAATAAAAGAATGCAACATATCTTTATATCATTAAACAAATATTCCATAGCATAAATAAATGTAACACATCTTAAAATAATATTCCACAACAGGTTCCATACTAAATGATGAAGGGTAAGAGCAAGCTTTCCAGCACTTCAGACAGTCAAACAGTTCTATGCATGGTTAAGATAATTTAAATGACGCAGGCTTGGCGGCTACAGATAAAGGCTAGGAGAAGTTAAGACTAAAGACAGAGCAAGATCTGTTTTCAGAAAAACCTAGCTCTCTTTTCTCCTGAGACAGATTTTAAAGGTCATCTTGATGAACTGTGAACTGGCAGCTGAGGATATGTCCCATCTTTTTATTTCTAAAGAGTGATGCATGCCTTTATCAGCAAGGAGACAATTATTCTGAGTGAGGACACAGGTCTAGTGGTGTACTTGACAAGACAGATGGAGCAAATCTGCCAAAGTCTCTCAAAGTGAGGCTGGCTATCACAGTGACCTTTGTCCATGCTCCCTAGGTGAGCACACACAGTAGGACAGAAGAGGAAACTGGCCTATTTTTGCCATTGTGAACAAACTGTCCAATGTTAACACAGACTATGGTACATGGACCCATCAAAACCACGAATAAGGCAGTCAGATGACACTCAACTGACTTTTGCTTGTTTGCTCTGCAGTCACCATATGTGATACAGAGCAGTTATTTCTTAATTTTTAAAAAAATACTGACTTATTTTGGGGGACAGAAGTACATGTGGTGGTCAGAGGATGTGGTGGTTTGAATAGGTATGGCCCCCATAAACTCATGCGTATGAATGCTGGGCCTACAGGGAGTGGAACTATTAGGAGGTGTGGCCTTGTTGGAGGAAGTGTGCCACTGTGGGGGTGGGCTTTGAGGTCTCCTTGCTCAAGCTACACCCAGTGTGGTTCACAGTCTCCTTCTGCTGCCTGTGGATCCAGATGGAGATCTCTCAGCTCTTCTCCAGCACCATGTCTGCCTGCATGCTGCCATTCTTCTCACCATGACAATAATGGACTAAATATTGAAATTGTAAGTCAGCCCCAATTAAATGTTTTCCTTATTAAGAGTTGTTGTGGTCATGGCGTCTTTTCTCAGCAATAGAAACCCTAACTAAGACAGAGGACAATTTGCAGGAGTACTGTGTGGGTCCTGGGCCCACACTCAGGTTATCAGGCTTGCTGACAAGTACCTTTACCTGTTGAGCCTTCACACTGTCCCCCAGTGCTGTCAAATCTGACATTCAGAACAAAACAAATAAAATGCTATTCCCAAGACTTGTACATGATAAGTCTTTGGGACAGTGGGGAAAATGTCTGCTAACATAAATGGCATTAAGAGACCCTGTCTACCAGTGGTTGGCCTCTCCTAACTGTTCCTGGATTGCTCTGAACAACTGCTGCAAACATACATGACTTGGATGCTAGAGAAGTGGCTCTTGCTGCTGCTCTTACACAGGACCCCAGAACCCACATCAGGCAGCTCACCACTACCTGAAGCTCTAGCTCTATGGGAACCAACACTCTCTTCTGAACTCTGCAGGCACTGCACTCCCACATTCATGCATGTATGAGTGCGCACACGCACGCACACACACACAAATAAAAAAATTTGTTTTAAGATGTATAATTTGAGACATTATAGCCACTTAATGCTAAAAAAAGGAAGAAAATATACAATTTCCAATTGCAAACAAAGAATATAAGAACTAAACTTACGATGAAATGCTTCCTAATAAAGGCAAAGGACCTGTAAGACACCACAGAGATACATGTGCACATGTACACTGCTGCGCTATGCACAATAGCAAGAAAATAGAATCATCCTAGATGTTTATCACCAGATAAATAATGAGAATGTGGTCTATATATACAATGGAATTTTATTAAGTCATAAAGAAAAATGAAATCATTAAGTTTACAGAAAAACGAATTGAACTGGAAATTATAGTGCGTTAACTCAGGAACTAAGTTAACTCAGTTAACTTAGGTAGACAAATGTGGCATGGGACAGATCACTGTGACATGAAAATGGAAATGGAACTATTAGGCATGGAAGGACACAGACGGGGAGGGGAGCTGAGGATGGACAAAATGTATGCATGAAAATGCCATGAAACCTTGTACTTTGTATGCAAATTAAGAAACAAAGTAAATATATCTATGCCTTAAAAACAAAACAAAACAAAAAACACATGTTAGAGGTGACACTCTCTCTAAAGAAGCCCATATACCCTTGGGCTGGAGAGATGGCTCAGCAGTTAAGAGCACCTGTTGCTTTGCAGAGGGCCCAGGTTAGTTCCCAGCACCCACATGGTGGTTCACAACCATCCTTAACTCTAGTTCTAGGGGATCCAACCACTTCTTGCCTCCAAGGGCACCAGGCATACACATAGTAGACAAATATACATGGAGGCAAAACATTCATACATGCAAAATAAATAAATTTATTTTCAAAGCCTATACCCATGTCTTAAATGTATACTATCCTCTTTCTAAGTCTTCCTCTTTCATTCCCTCAATACCTATCTTAAATCTGTATTAAAAACTGATTCTCAGTAAACTCCAATTTTGCTTAAAAACAAAAAAACAACTTTGAAGCTAGGCCCTCTGCTTAAGAGGCCCCCTGGTAGTAGGATCAGGATCCATCCCTGGTGCATGATCTGGCTTTTTGGAGCCCACTAGCTATGGTGGGACACCTCGCACAGCCTTGAGGCAAGGGGAGGGGCTTAGACCTGCCTCAACTGAATGTACCAGGCTCTGCTGACTCCTCACAGGAGGCCTTACCTTCTTGTAGGAGGAAATGGGAGATGGGTTGGAGTGGGAGGTGGGGGGAGGCTGGAGGGGCAGGAGGAGGGAAGAGGGGGATCTGTGATTGGTATGTAAAATGAATAAAAAAATTCTAATAAAAAAAGAATATGAAAATCAAATGAATGGAAAGATGCTTCCTACATCTGAACAGAAGCTAAGTTGAGACTGTGGGGGTTGTGGGGCAATGTACTCTAGCACCATCCAACCCTTGCAATATACAATTAAGCTACACAAATCCAAGTCAAATGGCACTTAATAAGAATCATGTAAATAATAGGTCATCAGAGAGAAAAGAACTATTCAAGGTAATTTAAATTCTTCCTTGATTTCTAGAATTATCCTTAGTGTTAGAAATTTAATTCTTTAAAAGAAAAACTCTCAAGGGTCTTAGGATTCAGCCTTTTAGTGACAATGCCTATACCCAAGTCTTGGTTTTCTGCTGTACAATGTGGAAAAGCAGCCCCTGACCTAGGTAGGGTAGAGTTGGGCCTGCTTGTAAAGGCTGTGATGCAAGCACATGAGGAAGGCATTCTGGCCTGCAGCGTTCAAGGTAACGAGTCAGACTGTGACAGCCGACATCACAGACTTAAGATAAAACAGGGCGAAATTCTGACACGAAGTTTTTCCCTGTGCAATCGAACCTGGGAATCAGGAACTCTCCAGGTTCCATAAAGCTCTATGTGTAGACACTTGGCTCTTTCTCACTTACGGTTGATGAAGAGTAGGAAAATGCACTTCTTCACAGAGTAGTTCGCATTAGATATATAGCCATTCATTTTGAAAGCCAGGGTTTTATCCTCACAGCCAACTTCTATCAGCTCTCTGTTTAGAAAAGAGAAATTTTGAGATTTTTCTAAGTATAAGAAATTTCACATTATAAAAGAATCACAATAGGAAACAAAAACAAAAACAAAAACAAAAAACCCAGGGCTCTTTCCCATAAACCAACTCTGGGGAAAAAAAAAAAAAAAAAAAAAAAGGCCTGAGACTAGGTTCAGTTGAGGTCCCATGAGTCTACACCATCTGTCCATCTGTCTATCCACCCACCTTCTCAGTGTTATCAGGTATTTATGTTGAGTGTGGGACACTGCTCCCACTGCTGAGAAGTAAAGATGAGTCTAAGCTCTCAATCCTTACTTTGCTTGAAAATTTTTTTTTTTTTTGGTTTATCGAGACAGGGTTTCTCTGTGTAGCTTTGCGCCTTTCCTGGAACTCACTTGGTAGCCCAGGCTGGCCTCGAACTCACAGAGATCCGCCTGGCTCTGCCTCCCGAGTGCTGGGATTAAAGGTGTGCGCCACCACCGCCCGGCTTGAAATTTTATTGTCACTAAACCCCAAGCTTTAAGTCCCAAAACTCATCTCTGCTGACCTGAACCTTTACTGTACTGCACAGCACCAATGAGGTTCCCAAGAGTGTTTATTGGTAAGGACAGGTAAACAAGAGTCAGTCGGTCTCTCTGAAAAGCCACACTTATTTCTTCCTAAGTTTTCAGAATGAACCTTTTGGCAACTAGGTAATTCCTAGCAGCCTTCACATTCCTTTTCAGTCTTCATGGACTCCAGAGATTTCCCTTCTTGTCCTGTTACTTTTCTTTGGAGGTATCAGCACAGCCTGCTAATGAATAGCATAATTATCTCACTTCCTTCAACTAGAGTCCTGAGAGAGCAAGAATCACTCCATCTGTTCACTACCATATCCCTACTACAGTACAACACTCACTAGACTTTGCTGTGCACACCAGGGATGCTTTTCCTGCAGTAACATGCCCTCTGAGTGCCAGGGTGCAGAGTGCAGCCTGCAGTGGTATACAGACACACTGACGCACAAACCGCTTCTTTCTCCAATGTCTCAGGCCAGTTTGGAAACCTACTTGTGTTTTTTTTCCCCCTTTCTTCCTTCCCTCCCTCCCTCCCTCCCTCCCTCCCTCCTTCCTCTTCTTCTTCTTCTTCTTCTTCTTCTTCTTCTTCTTCTTCTTCTTCTTCTTCCTTCTCCTCCTCCTCCTCTCTCCCTCTCCCTCTCTCTCTCTCTCTCCCTTTTTCCAAGACAGGGTTTCTCTGTGTAGTTTTGGAGCCTATCCTGGAACTCGCTTTGTAGACCAGGCTGGCCTCGAACTCACAGAGATCCGCCGGGCTCTGCCTCCTGAGTGCTGGGATTAAAGGGGTGTACCACAACCGCCCAACTTGTTTATGTTTTTGTTTTTTGTTTTCTTTGGAAACCTACTTCTGGAAATGCTCTCTAAGGACCATGTCCAATCTCTTATAGCCCCTAGGGAGTCCATAACTAGTGTTCAGTCTTAAAATCTTGTCAAAAGTCTTAAAAGTTACCCTGTAGAACAGAGATCTTCCTTTGATCTAGGAGTACAGCTTTGTAAATGAACTCATTTACATTTAATTAGGAAGAAAAGGTGGTGACAAGTGGACTCCTTGTTTCCTTGGTTTGACTCAAAGAACCAACAGTTTGTCCTTGGAAGTAGAATTTCAGTACTAGGACAAATGCCGATGGCAGATCCATGTGTGCTCCATGTGTGCCTCATGTATGCTTGGCACAGGGAGAATCTTAATATTGTCACCTGGGGTATGGCATGGGCCTTAGGGACTTTGTGAAGTCCAAATCAGGAATTCCTAGCAAGAAACCTGTGATGGAAATGGTGGGTTATACAAACAGAAGGGCGCCCAAGAGGAACTCGTAATATAAGCAAATTCTTCTCTTGGGCCTTCTTTGTTAATGATGGGCTGCTAACATCTACAAATTTAGTCTTTAAGAACAGAAATTTTCGCTGGGCGGTGGTGGCACACGCCTCTAATCTCAGCACTTGGGAGGCAGAGACGGGTGGATTTCTGTGAGTTCAAGGCCAGCCTGGTCTACAGAGTGAGTTCCAGGACAGGTTACAAAGCTACACAAAGAAACCCTGTCTTGAAAAACCAAAAAAATAAAAATGGGAACAGAAAAATTTCATTCACCTTTACACCCCTAACTTCTGATACAAATCTTGAAATAAGAAAGGCAATTAATCAATGTTGAATGACAAGTAAATTAAATCCTCATCTGGTAATAATGCAATAAAAGGAAAACAGGAAGATTAAGGGTGACAGAATTCTAAATTACAAACATTTTGAAAACAAAGTCCAAAAGAACAAGTGGATATACAGGCACAGCATTCAGGAGACAAAACTCCCAGAGAGCACTGATTACATGAGATAGAGACTGGATTAACTAACGTGAAACATGAAAACAGGCCTAGATATCTGACTACGCCAACTCTAACAGCATCCATTGTCTTGGCAGGTTTGAAAATAATGCAATGGGTTGATGAATCAAGGGAAGGGATTCGAAAGATTTTGTTAAACATGGATTACTCACATACCGACTAACAGCGTTTCCGAAGATGGAACGAATGTTGTCCACAGTGGTGGCATTGGGTAGTGTTCTGATATCAGCCACTGTCTCACCTTGCTGGAAAACAGACAGCATGGTGACTTGACATCCAATGGCATTATTGGATGAGAAGTAGAATTATTTCTTAAAAATCTCCTACTTTCTTTGCTGTGGGATTTTCTGTATGGCAAATGTGTTGCTGATTAGTCAATAAATAAAACACTGATTGACCATTGGCTAGGCAGGAAGTGTAGGCGGGACAAGGAGGAGAATAAAGCTGGGAAGTGGAAGGCTGAGTCAGAGAGACACTGCCAGCCGCCACGATGACAAACAGCATGTGAAGACTCCGGTAAGCCACAAGCCGCGTGGCAAGGTATAGATTTATAGAAATGGATTAATTTAAGCTGTAAGAACAGTTAGCAAGAAGCCTGGTACGGCCATACAGTTTGTAACCAATATAAGTCTCTGAGTTTACTTGGTTGGGTCTGAGTGGCTGTGGGACTGGCAGGTGAGAGAGATTTGTCCTGTGGGCCAGGCAGGAAAACTCTAGCTACATTTCTTTCCTAATACAAACTGTCCTTCAAAAATCATAACTTAGGGACTGGAGAGGTGGATCAGCCATTAAGACACTGGCTGAGGCTCTTGCAGAGGTCCCAAGTTCTTTTCCCAGCATCCACACAGCACTCACAACCATCCGTAACTCAACTTCCAGGGGATTTGATGACCTTCTTCTGGATTCTGTGGGCACCAGGCATGCACATGGTGCAGAGAAATACATGCAGGAAAAACATTTGTACATATAAAACAAAAATGAATGTATCTTTTTGAAAAAATCATGACTTACTTTTTTAACTGAGAAACTAATGCCTGAATTGTGTATTGAATACCTGGAAAAGAAAAGGTAAAAGCTAAGCAGAGGATAGTCAAATGCATAATAAATTCAGAGATCTACTTTTAATTAAATAAATTGGTAGACTTATAAGAAAAAGGTGACTTAAACAAAGATATGTACAATATATGTCCAATCAAAATACCTTGGTATAACCTATATTATCCACAAGAAAACAAAGCAACAGAGACTCATGGATAACATTGCCAAATGTAACTACGTCAAGCAAAACACTGAATGTTACAGGCTGCTGACTTGGCCCAATCTGAACCTACAGGATTATTTTCATGAGATTAGAAGGCCTTGGCTGCCATCAGGACATCCTTAACACTCAGATTTACCCTCTGTACTTGATTCTCCCCACTGCTTTTTCCTGGCTGCTGGGTCCTGCTCCAGTATCTCCACAACCTTTTTGAAGACAACTTTATCACTCCTCTGTTCACCAACCCCATGAACCAAAGTACCATGTTCAAAGAAATGTATTTATTAAATAACAATTTTCCACCTTACCACATTTAGAACCCATTTGTACAAATATACTACGTTTATTGAAACACAATTCTGCTTTTAGCTGCTCTGAGTCCCCTTTTCCTATTAATAGCCTCCAAGTTGCTTTGGGAAACTCCTTTTATCCCATCCCTCCTAAGGCATGCCAAGTAAAGACTGCCAACCAAGAAGTTTCATCAGAGCTGTGGGCACAGAACCATGAATCCCAGTAATGCCAACCATAGCACTGTCCAGGACAGACCTTCAAAGCAGAGGCAGAAGAGAATACCCTGTCTTACCTCTTCCTACCCAGTGAGCAACTATTCAGTGATTTCTTTTTGGCTCAAGGTAGCTAAGATCAGTTTGCTTCATCAGCCAGCAGTGAACTCCACCATGAGACCAACTGTGCCCTTGGCAAGATGAGTCAAGACTCAGGGCTGATGAGCAAACTGGACCAGACCAGCACACAGGCCAGCTTTGTTGTCTGCTCCCAGTTTTCAAATACTCTCAATTTATAAGCGCTGGGGCACATTCCTTTAATGACAGAGCTCACGGACTCACTCCCGGATTTCAGACAGTACCTTCCAACAACTTCCAAAATTTTCCCATACTCTTCACTTGGATTTTTCAAAGCTTTCCTTCTTGTCATTATGTTGTAAAAAAGATCCTCCACCTGAAGAGAGATCCAGTTGTCTTGTAAGTTCATGGATGTATGTGGAAAGCTTTGCACTGTCTACCTAAAGCTGGATCTCAAGGTAATGAACCCAGTGACATTACCAACAGCACTGTTCTAAGTCCTGACTCAGGGAGGGGAAAGGGTTAAGGAAGCATCACCAAGGGAATTAAAGGGTATTTTTCCTACATCCACATTCATTGACTTCTCAAACAGATAATAGGGGATAGCTCTATGGCATGTTGTTTGTTAAAAATATAAAGGACTAAAAACATGAGGACATTTAAAATTATTGTCTTGCTCAAGAGAATAAGACATGAATGTAACTCTATAATCAATTACTATATTACATGGCATTCAGAGACATTTTTCAAACTAAAGACAATCATAAAACTCTGGAGATGATTTGGAGTTCTCAACAATCACACTATGCATGTTGCTAAGGCTCCCTCTAGGCAGCACTTTGAAGCCCAGGTTTGTTTCTGCCTCCTGCCTGTCTCTCATGCTTAGGACTTGAGATGTGCTACAGGTGGGGTCAGGAGTGAAGGGACCAGAGAAGTGTAACATGAAAGTGAGGTGCTCTATGGGATCCCAGACTGGAAAGACACCGAGATGCTATGATAAGGCTGCATGATGAGTTTCCTCTTGACTAACAACATTCACATGACCCACCCGAGGCCCTCTGAGGCAGACAGGTAGGAATTCTTTGTTCCACTGGAGACACTAAAAAGTGAAATTCTGAGATGTTAAGTGATTTGCCTGTGAACATACACACTAAAAGATAAGACTGGGACTCCAACCCATGTCTTCTGGAGTCAACCATGTTTTTTCAATGCCAACTACTCTGCCACTGATGTTTACCATTCCAGCCCCTTACAAAAGACAAGAAGGTAGACAGGCTGCCACGTCATAAAACCCAATAATCATTTTTCTTACTTAGAAGCATAGGTATCTTGGGACTTCTATTAGAAGCCAAAATTTATTTGATTTTTACATCAAAAACTCAAAGCCATCTTATATTTTACTTCAAGCATTCCTACAAAGCTGTTTGTCACCAGAATGTACCATTCTTACCGTTATCTGGGTACCCTGGTTGCCTGCACATGGTTTAGGAGGGGCTTGCAGCTTTCCATCTGAGTATCTTGCTCTAGTCAGAAAACATAAAAGATTATTAGTATCTAACAGGATGATTATCCAAAGCATAAAAACACAAATCATGGTATAGATATAGTAGCATATATCTGTAACCTCAACACTGGAAATGCCTTGCAAGTTCCTGAACTACATAAAACAATAAATACATTAATACTCCACAATTAAAATGACAAACTTTATTATTTTTTTTAAAAAAAGTGCAAATAAATAAAACCTCAGACACCAAAATTAACCAGGCCCAAAGTCTATATAACACAATGAACTTCTATACAGTTAGAACAGATATTGAGAAATGAATCTGTAGTGCTTCACATTAAATTTTACACCTTCAGTATGAACTATATTTTATGTGCTTATCCACTACCCAAAACAAAAACCCACAACAGAACTAGTAAAACAATGTGCTCTCCAACCTCTTTCGTAATCGTGTCTATTACCTGGATTCAGTTCATATTACCACACTTTAAAAATAAAAATTGTATCAATACATTATAACATAGTCATATTATATATTGTTAACAAGATTTTATTTTAAAGCCCTATTATAGCAAACCTTGCCTGAGCTGTTAAATTCTGAGTTATTAACCAACAGCTTTGCCATTGCTGAAGGTAGCTGTAAATATTGCTGCAATTTTGCAACCATTTGCCTGCTGAGGTCCTGATAATAAAAAAGGCCAGCCGGGCGGTGGTGGCGCACGCCTTTAATCCCAGCACTCGGGAGGCAGAGCCAGGCGGATCTCTGTGAGTTTGAGGCCAGCCTGGGCTACCAAGTGAGTTCCAGGAGAGGAGCAAAGCTACACGGAGAAACCCTGTCTCGAAAAACCAAAAAAAAAAAAAAAAAAAAAAGGCCTTAGCCAGCAACAGTAGTGCACACCTGTAATCCCAGGCACTTTCGAGACAAAAGCAGGAGGGTCATTGCAAGTTCCAGGCAGCCAGAGGTACACAGCAATATTGTCTCAAAACCAAAACAAAACACAATATCCCACAAACAAAACAGTTCTTATCTGGCACAGGAACAGTCTTTTATCCAAGTGTAGACCAATGTGCTAAGTGATCCTGAAAGCAGGAAGAACCCTTCGGCCTTGGGGAGAGGGGTGAGCTGGGTAGGTGACAGCATCAGAGAAAGGAAGGAAACTCATCAAGGCTTTGAGGAGGAATAGTTTCAGGAGAATAGTGCAAGAAAAGCATCTTATAAGTCAGAGAACAAGGAATTCTGGAAGACTTGGCACTTGGTAATATGAGGAGAGAAGGGGCTGGAAAGTGGGTTCAGGGCATATGGGAAGTGTCTCAGCCAGTGACTGCTGTGATGAAACACCATGACCAAAGCAACTTGGGGAGGAAAGGATTTATTTGGCTTATACTTCCACATCACAGTTCATCATCAAAGAAGTCAGGACAGGAACGTATACAGGGCAGGAACCTGGAGGCAAGAGCTGATGCAGAGGCCATGGAGGGGTGCTGCTTACTGGCTTGTTCTACATGGCTTGCTCAGCCTGCTTTCTTATAGAACCCAAGAGCACCAACCCAGGGATGGCACCACCCAGAACGGGCTGCCCCCACCATCAATCACTAATTAAGAAAATATCTTACAGCCAGATCTTATAGAGGCATTTTCATTTTCTTTTTAATTAATTTTTATTTCATGTGCATTCGTGTTTTGCCTGCATATATGTCTGTGTAAAGATGTTGGATCCCTGGAACTAGAGTTATAAACAGTTGTGAGCTGCCATGTGGGTGCTGGGAACTGAACTGGGGTCATCTGGAAGAGCAGCCAGTGCTCTTAACCATTGAGCCATCTCTCCAGCCCTAGAGGCATTTTCTTAATTGAAGTTCCCTCTTCTCAAATGACTTTAGCTTGAATCAAGTTGACATAAGACTATCCAGCACAGGAAGGCACTGGATGTCAAGAGGATACCTCTAGATTTCATCCTGTCTCAGAAGGGAGCCACTACAAGTCCCAGGTAAGGCATAACACAAAACCAGAGGTCATGAAACAAAACTTATACCTCAGGGTACCTACACAAAACTTAACACACAATTGTCTGTCTGGCTTATAACATGCCAATCAGCCCACCCAAATTCACATAGAATCAAGCCCCCTAACATCTGCCCTGCATATTCTGAAGCACTCTCTATTACAGCACACATTAGTCTTCTGAAAAAGATGGAGGACAGAATTTCCTGTTTTAATTTATAACGTGCATGCTTAAATGTATTGTCTTCTTGCTTTTCTTTCTTCTTTCTGCACTCATTAGATACTACTCCTAGTCTTTAGCCAGTGGCAGCCAATGCTTAAAAACCAGAGCATGATTTTGATTTCTTGAATCCCATTTTTGTGCTGTCCCAGGACCATTCTGAGCCTCTGTAAACTGGAAGCACAACAGCCAGCCAGCAGCCAACTGCCGTAGGCACAGGCTGAAGGGAACCAAAAGCTCAGGAGCTAGCAAATGAATTGTGGGTCTTCAGTATCCCAACCACAGACCTATAATTAGCCCAAAGTGCTACCCCACCAAAGGGCAAAGGCGAAATAATACTAGCAACTACTATTTGCTTAGAAAAATCTATGCGCAATATACACCTTTCTTGGTGCTTGCAATGTTTATGTTACAACTTCTCTCTCTCTCTCTCTCTCTCTCTCTCTCTCTCTCTCTCTCTCTCTCTCTCTCTCTCTCTCTCTTTTGTTATTTCAAGGCGGGGTCTTGGGTTTCTCCGCATTGCCCTGGCTGTCCAGGAACTCGCTCTGTAGACCAGGCTGGACTCAAACTCAGAGATCCACCTGCTTCTGCCTCCCAAGTGCTGGGATTGAAGGCATGCACCACCACGGCATGGCACAACTTATCTCTTAAGAAGCCAGAAAGTGGGGCTAGAGATGGCTAAGCTGTTAAAGCACTGGCTGATCTTCCAGCAGAGCACAGAGGCCAAAGAGAAAAGGAGCAGAAAGGGGTTTCACTATCCCTTTACAAGACACATCTCATGACCTGGGAACTTGCAGAGGGCCTGCATTCTATTCACAGAACTCACATGGCAGCATACAATCATTTGTAACTCCAGTCCCAGGAGATCCATACCCTCTTCTGGCCTCCAAAGGCACCAGACATGTACCTGGTACACAGGTATGCATGTGGTCAAAATATCCATACACATAAAATAAATGTATTTAAAATTTAAAAAGGAGCCATGAAGTAAGAGTACCACCTTATGATCATCCCTGTGGATGAACACTTTATTCATAGGAAGGGAAGATAACTAGTATCTTAACAACAACAACAACAACAACAATGTAACATGTTTAGGGAGGGTCACACTGAGATCAAATACCTCACAAAAGTCATTATCACATACCTGTATGCACATTTTCCATCGGCTGTTTTGGTTGTAATAGTAACATGAGCCACATGGCTTATGCTTGCCAAAGCCTAGGGAGGGGAGGAAAGGAAATGAAAGAAAAACTCACTGTTGCTTCATCAAAGGCGAAAGTTACCTAACTTGCCTCTTTTGATCTACATTCATGTAGCAACAATGAACAATTTGATGATGTTTTAAGAAAAAGAGATAAAATCTAATTCCTAGGGTAATTACTAAGACAAGGGAAGGCATATATTAAAACTCCAAGAGGAATTTCAAACACTTCCTGTGTTAACACAACTTCATCTCGTGCTGGTACACAGGGCTGTGCTGGACAGCTCCCGTTACTCCAACAGGGCATGAGATGATCAACTTAGAGACAGAAGGCTTCTCTTAGCTCATGGTTTTAGAGGACCCACCCCACGGTCAGTAGGTCCTGACGCTTTGGTCCCGTGCTGAAGAAATTCATCCTGGCATGGAGTTCATGGAGACCAAAGCCACTCACACCTGACATCCACAGAGGCCAAAGAGAAAAGGAACAGGAAGGGGTTTCACTATCCCTTTTATTTAGCTTCAATAATCTCCCACTAACAATGAACTGGGTGGGGACCAAGCTTGGTGCATGGGTCTCTAGGGGACACTTCGGTTCCAAATGGTAGCAAATGTATTTAATATATTTTCAGTGACGTATCTTCCGAGAAATTAAAAATATACTTTCAGAAAGAAGGAAAAACAAAACAAAACAGGATCTCTTAAAACTGCTTTATAGAAACAATTATATTTTTAAAAATATGAATTTTGGGCTGGAGAGATGGCTCAGAGGTTGAGCACTGGCTGTTCTTCCAGAGGTCCTGAGTTCAATTCCCAGCAACGACATGGTGGCTCACAACCATCTGTAATGAGATCTGACTCCCTCTTCTGTTCTGAAGGAATACACACAAGCAGAACACTGTATACATAATAAATAAATAAATAAATAAATAAATAAATAAATAAATAAATAAATCTTAAAAAAAATAAATAAAATAAAAATATGAATTTAAAATTGCTACAATGGGTCTGTGCAACAACATCTACACATCTGAGGCAGTTTCAATTCATTAAAAGGAACATGGCTCTGCTTGGGAAGCTGAGGCAGGAGGATCACCTGAAGCCAGGACTTTGAGATCAGCAAAGGAGCTTGACCCCATCTCAAAAATAAATGAACAAAAAAGGGAATATTCTTCAGGCTCAGAGATGACTTGGTCATCACCAGATTTCCCCAGGTTGTGTAGTCTATCCCTCTCTCTCCCTTTGTGGCCAGGATGGTTCCAAACTCTCAATTGTCCTGTCTCAGTACTGGTATTATAGGCATGTACCATTGCACCCAGCTTGGCTTATATAATTTTCAACACTTACAGACTTGAGCTGGGTGTGGTAGTGCAGTTTGTAATCCCAATATGTTGGAGGTAAAGGTAGGATGATCTGGAGCTTAAGACCAGCCTCAACTACGTAAAGAGTTCAAGACCAACCAGGGCTATAGAAGACCTGGTTCAAAACATAAAACACACTTAAAATATAAATGACTTTGAGACCCATGTAAGGCAAGGCCTGCTCATAGAAGACAATCCTATGTATTTTTAGGAAGAAAGTGGGCCAATATGTTCAACTATTTCTACCTTGAAAAGGAAAGAAAAGAAAAAAAAATCGCCATTTGCTCAAATTAGGATGTAGGTAAGATTCAATGAAGTGTGAGTGTGGGGGTGCTGGGAAGACAGAAGCAGCAGATCTTTGTCAATTCCAGGACAGTCAGGACTACTTTTGTTGAGATAGTAAGACCCTATTTCAAAGAGAGAGACTGAGAGAGAGAGGGATCGGGATCAGATGAGGTGGATTCTCAGGCTCTTCAAATATCTTTTAGTTTACAGGTCCTTGCTCCTTCTCTGCTCTCTATTCCTGTGAGGATTACCAGTTGAGTCTATTGTATGTAGCTTTCTAATCCCAGTATGGTTTACATTACCATTCCCATATGCCCTCTATATTTTCCATACACTGATATTTGGATGAAAGTATTGATCAGATTCACATTTGATTTTTTGATAAAACTTCATAGGTGATTTTAGGGACCTCTATAAAGAGATACATGATATCCAGTGCCTCTGTAGATAAAATAGTATATCAAATATTTTTGAAAAATTCTGTCCTGAAAAGCTAAATTTGTTAAAATTTGTATGTATTTAACAAGTACAAAGTATTAAATTTCACTTGTCCCTGTTGAGAAATGACAACATTATCACAGGAGGACATTTTTATACATTTCTTTAAACCTTAGCTTACCTCACCCCGGAAGCCATAGGTAGAAATACTGGCTAAATCCTCAAAGGTCTGCAGTTTACTTGTAGTGAACCTCTCACACACAATATCCAGATCTTCCTTCTACATGGTTAAGGGGGAAGAGTAAATAATTATGTCTCTCATTTCCCAAATCTTTCTGGATTTTCAATGTATTGCTTTCATCTGAGAAGAAGTTCTCCAAAGAGGTTTAAATTAGCACTACCTTCCTTACCCAAGATATCAGCGGACCTGGAGGCTCACCTTCTTCACTAAGTCCTCCTTCTCAGTGTAAGGTCATTTCCACTTCATGTCCCCACCTCCTAGCACTGGGACTCCACCCTTAGACCTCTTCTCTACCTGTACTCACTCATCTCTGTCTTTCTCCTGCCCGCTCCCCATCCTTTTTTGAGACAGGGTCTCATTGTATAGCCCAGGATGCGTCAAACTTAATTCTCCAACCTTGACCTCTCAAGTGCTGGAATTGCATGCATTTGACATCATACCCAAATTTCATTTTCTTTTTAAATTAAAACAAAACAAAACAAATCTTTATTTTTAATCTACAGGAAACTCTTAAAATTGTAGTAAAAATAGATACAACAAAATCTTCATTTTAGTTGGATGTGGTGACACACACTTGAAATCCTAGCACTTTGGAAATAGAAGTAGGAGGGATAAGAATTATGGTCACCCTTAGCTATACAGTGAAATCAATGTAAGTCTAAGTCACAAGAGACCCTGCTGCAAAAGCCATAAACAAGGGCTGGAGAGATGGCTCAGTGTGGTAAGAGCACTTGCTGCTTTTCCAAAGGACCTGACTTCAGATCCTAGCACCCACATCAGGTGACTCACAGTTACTTCTAATTCCAGCTCCAGGGAATACAATGCCCTCTTTTGGCCTCTATATGGACTAACACTCACAGGCATAAATACAGCCCAAACACACACACACACACACACACACACACACACACACACACACACACACAGAATCTTAAAAAAAAACAAAACAACTTTTCATCTTAACCACTTAATGTTCAGTACATTAAGTACATATTTACGTTAGTTAAATTTATATAAATTTAACAGTAAAAAATACACAACCATCCATGTCTAGAACTTCATCATTTTTCTTAAATTGGATCTTAGTACCTGTTGAACAGTAACTTTCCATTCTCCTCATCCCCCAATCTCTGGCCAATCACCATCCACATTCTGTCTCTCTGAGTCTGACTTCTCTAGAAACCTTATATAGTAGGAATTGTTTAATCCTTTTACTTTTTGTGATTAATTTATTTCAGTTAATATAAAGTCTGCCAAGTTTATCCCTGTTGAAGCATGTCAGAATTTCATGCCTATCCAAGGCAGAATACTCTTCTACTGTGTGGATGTGTGTCACAGTTTATCCATTTATCTGCTGATGGACATGAGTCACTTCTACCTTTGGCCTATTGTAAATAATGTTATGAACATAACCATACAAATCTACCCATGTCCATCTCTCACTTATCTGCATATACACAGAAGTAGAAACAGTAATTGTAATTCTGAGAAAATACCACATCACTTTCCGTAATTGCTACACTATTTTACATTCCCACCAACAATGCACAGAGACTGAATTCTCTACCTTCTAACAATCTATATAATTTTATTTCTTTAATAGTGGTCATAGTGAAATGGTATCTCATCACAGCTTGGATATGCACTTCTGTAATGGCTACCTCTGAACATCTTTTCATGAATCTTAAAGCTTTTCATATATCAAAATGCAAAGTTTGAAATTTTTACCTGTAGACTTCTTCATGTATTCACTGAGACACACACACCTTTAAAAGGCACTTTAATGTGCTCCCAAATGAACTGCTTACCTTCCTTTCAAACCTTTCTTTCATAATCTTGCCCATTCCGATAAGTGACAACTCTTACTCAATTACTTACTTTTTATCGCACATCAGCAAATTCTGAGAGGTCTGCCTTCAGAATTAACTCAGGAATCTCCCTGGTCTCAAATACAATCAGACTGGTCCAAGGCACTGTGACCCCATTCCTGGGTTCCTACCAGAGTCTTCTGACTGCCTCTACACTGCCCTTCAGCAACTTGTTTCCAACAGTCTCTTTAAATTTTTAATTTTATTTTTATGTGTATGTGTGTGTGCCTGATTGTATGTGTACTACATTCATGAAGTGCCCTCAGAGGCCACTGGAACCCCTGAAACTGGCATTCTAGCTGTTGTGAGACATTGCTATGGGTGCTGAGAACAGAATCTGGGTCCTCTGCAAGTGTGGCAAGTGATGTTAACCACTGAGTCATCACTCCAGGCCCATTCAAAGGTTATTGTTTTAGTAAAACACATCACCATAGCATGAGCTGTTTTGCTTAGAATCCTTGGGTCCTATCCACCACAGCTGCCAAAAGCAGCTATGGCCTGAAGATCTACCATGTTCCCTCCCAGGCCTCATGTCTTGTTCTCCCTGTTGGAGATACACTGGCTTCCTTACTGGTCCATCAAGTTCAGGAATACCTCAACTTCAAGATTTTTGTCTTTATTGTTCTCTCTGCCCAGGACACTCATCCTTTCAACACTTTCATAACTTGTTCCTCGATCTCCATTAGTTTTCTCCATAAATTTCATATCCATATTAAAGCCCTCCTGAGTCACCAATAAATGGAGAGTGCAGCATCCTTCCCACTCTCTGATCCTGTCTTCCTTCTAGCTGTCATCTTCTGTACAGTACTGTATACCATCCGGCATACTAGTCACTATTTACCGACTCCCACTACCAGGATGGAAAACAAAGCATTTTTGTCCATTTTATTTACTGATATATCCCCTCAACAATGTCCAATACACAATAGAAACAATACATAATTATTGTTAGTGTTCACGCTTTCAATCAAAAACACCTTCTGCAAAAGACTAAAGTCACTAGGCTAGGGTGAGGTCTTACATTTTCCTAGAGGTATGAAACACACAAACCCAGTTCCCCCAGGTTTTACTTACCCTGATTCCAGTGCCATTGTCCTGGATCTGAATTAGCTTCAGGCCTCCTTCTTTAACAATCACTTGAATATTTGTAGATTTTGCATCTAAACTGGCAATCAGAGAAAATATTTTGTCAGTTGCAACTACCTTGACACATGTATTATAATAACGAATTCCAAACAGAGTGCCTGATTAACATGTCTTCTCTTTGTCTTACAAACTCAATGTTGGTACTGCATGACTGTATACATTACATAAGTGGTAAGTGCGGAGCTAACAGTCTCTTCCTGAAGGACAGTCCTTTTAGCACATTCGTTTCTTACTCTCTTTTCAACTAATTTTACTGTTAAAACAACTTTAATCAGTCTCTGGTTTCTAAGTGACTCTAATAAAATATCATTTAAAAATAAAGTTTTCCTCTACTCTTATATTTTCAAGAAAACTGATGATGAAGCAAAGAAAAACTGCCATGCAGAAATTTCTTTAAGAGGCTTAAGGGGAGCCAGGCATGGTGGCACATACCTTTAATCCTGGCATTCGAGAGACAGAGGCAGGCAGATCTCTGTGAGTTCAGGGCAAGCCTGGTCTACAAAGGGAGTTCCAGGACAGCCAGGGCTGCTACACAGAGAAACCCTGTCTTAAAATCAAATAAACAAAAAATGGAGGGTTAAGGGGTAGGGGCCTGAAGAGACAGTTCTGCAGTAAGGAGCACTGGCTGCTCCTTCAGAGGAGCAGGGTTTAATTCCCAGTACCCACAGGGTGGCTCACAACCATCTGTAACTCCAGTTGCAGAGGACTTGATGCTCTCTTTAGGCCTATGAGGGCAATCCATGCACACAGTGCATAGACATATGTTGGCAAAACACCCATACACATAAAATAAAAATCTAAATGTAAAAAATATACTAATAGGGTTCATAAAATGTCTGAGGGGGTAAAGGCACCTGCCACTAACCAGAGTACTTAGGTTTAATCCCTGGGACCCACAAGATGGAAGGAGAGAACCAACTCCTCAAATTTCTCTTCTGACCTCCACAAGTGTGCTGTACACACAACCTCCATCATACAGACAAATCAGTAAACAAATTAATTAAGCTAAACAGGGGAAATAATCTTAAAAAGGAAGAAGTTATCTACCACAGAAAATAAATTTGGCCTGGGGCTGTATGAAAAAGGGAAGTTATCAATTCCTCTCATGAAAAATTCTTTATTGAAAAAAGACAGTAAGTTACTTAAATAATAAACTTTTCTTGGCACCTCTGTATCAAAAACCTTAACTATTTAAAAAGCACTTAACTAGAATCCATGCAAAAATCTCTGCTCAAATATAAACTATGCTATTTTTAAGCTTAGTTTTATAATACAATAACTGACCCAACTTATCCTTATAGTTTATCTAACATTGTAGAAACAAAAGCTGTACTATGGCAGCCTAGGTGCTACACCCAATCAAACGTCCCCAAGCTCCCTGCTACTTCTTTTGGTTACCTCTTAACTCCTTTCCTTTCTCCCTGTCACAGTACCATTGCTCTGAATGGGTTGTGTTTTCAGTGAACTTCTACAAGACTGCTATTCCTCACTGGAGAAATCTTTTCTCTTTTTTTGTAACTGAAGTATGGGCTTCGCTAACATCACTTGAAACGAACACAAGGATCTGACAGTGTTTATGTATACTCTATGGATGTCCTTTTTGAACATATTTGGTGGTATGTCTATTTTGAGGTATACTCTTCACATTCCCTTTTCTGTCCACATTTTTAACCTCTCCCCTCCACAACGTGACGGGTTTAAGTCCCAGAAGCAACAAATGCCACCCCCTAGAACACTAACTGGGGTCACTAATTTGACAATTAGGAGTCAGAAAAAAGCCCCATGTTCACTGGCCTGATCTAAAACGCCAATAATTTTGAATAAAACTCAAAGGAACTATGCCTTGGATGTGTACGGATTGTTCCGAGAATGAACGACTGTTTCGGCATACTCTGAAGATTGTTTATCTTTCCACCCTAAACATTCGAATACACATCTTCAGCTGCGCATCTTCTGCGTATGCGATGTGAAGTTAAGCAGCTTCCTTCGGGAAGGTACCATTAAATCAATATTACGCCTGCTTCCTCTACTTGCGACCCAAACGGGTCTCGCGGAAGCCGGGAGGACCCCCTGCCAGCGGGCGGCCGGCCAGGCACGCTCAGGGTCCCTGTGCCAGCGGTGGCCGACCGCAGCAGGTGGGTCGGCCCGGCCCGGCCCGTGCCGCCTTCAGGGAACTCGGTTCCGCTCCCTCCGTACCAGTTTTCAATCATCTCTTTGATAGCATTGGCCGGCCGCTGGATAACTTCCCCCGCCGCTATGCGGTTCACTACCGTCTCGTCCAGACGCCGAATAACTCCCGCTACGAACGCCATATTGGCGCCAGAGCTCGCCGTCGGCCAATCACTTCGGCTCCTCACGCTCACGTCCTTCCTCCCGCTTCGGCCGACGCCGACCTGCACGGCCTTCCCAGCGACAAGTGCTGATTGGGCCGCCTGAATGCCAGTCAAATGCGTGCACACGTCAGTTCCTAGGTCTCTGTCCCGCCCTAAACAGCGGCCGCCCACTAGGCGAGATGGCAGCGCGCTTGCGCGTCAAAGTTCACGGTCCGCTCTTCCTATTGGTTCATTCCCGAGAGCTAAGGGAATACGAAATCTCCAGCCAATAGGAACGGAGGTGCCTTGGCGGAGGCTGGTTGGCCGCTGCTCGGGTGATCTGGCGCAGAACCCAGGGGGTGCTTGGCGCTCGTCGGGCTCCTCCCCGTTTGCTGCGGCCTCGGAGCTCGCCGTTATCTTGTGGCCTCCCGCAGTATGTGGATGACGCCCAAGAGGATTAGGATGGAAGTCGACGAGGCCCTTGTGTTCCGACCCGAGTGGACCCAGCGTTACTTGGTGGTGGAGCCTGCGGAGGGCGACGGGGCCCTGTGCCTGGTGTGTCGCCGCCTGGTCGCCTCTACCCGCGAACGCGACGTGAGACGCCACTACGAGGCCGAACACGAATTCTACGAACGGTTTGTAGGGGACGCGGAGCGCGCGGCCCTGGTGGAGCGTCTGCGTCAGGGCGACATGTCCTTAGCCTCCGTGCTCACTCCGGAGGAGAGAGCGACACGGGCAGGCCTCGGCCTCTGTCGCTTCTTGGCCTTGAAGGGTCGCGGCTGGGGTGAGGGAGACTTCGTGCACCAGTGCATGGAGGTGTTGCTGAGAGAGGTGCTGCCGGATCACGTCGGCGTCCTGGAAGGCATTGATTTATCGCCAGAGATCACGCGGCAGAGGATTCTGAGCATTGACAGCAATCTCCGTAGCCAGCTGTTTAACCGGGCCAGGGACTTTAAGGCCTATTCTCTTGCTTTGGATGACCAGGCTTTTGTGGCCTATGAGAACTACCTCCTGGTCTTCATCCGTGGCGTCGGCCGCGACCTGGAGGTGCAGGAAGATCTTTTGACAATTATCAACCTGACTCATCACTTCAGTGTTGGGGCCCTCATGTCGGCGATTCTGGAGGCCCTGCAGACAGCAGGACTCAGCTTACAGCGAATGGTTGGACTGACCACGACCCACACCTTAAGGATGATTGGTGAGAACTCGGGACTGGTCTCTTACATGAGAGAAAAGGCCGTGAGCCCCAACTGTTGGAACGTTATCCACTATTCGGGATTTCTGCACTTGGAACTGTTGAGTTCTTACGATGTTGATATTAATCAGATCATAAATACCATATCTGAGTGGGTAGTTATGATTAAGACCCGAGGTGTTAGACGACCGGAGTTCCAGCCTTTACTGACTGAGTCTGAAGCAGAACACGGTGAAAGGGTTAACGGACGGTGTTTGAACAACTGGCTGCGAAGAGGCAAGACGTTAAAACTGATATTTTCACTAAGAAAAGAAATAGAGGCCTTCTTGGTTTCAGTGGGGGCGACAACAGTCCACTTCTCAGACAAGCAGTGGCTTTGTGACTTTGGCTTCCTGGTAGATATGATGGATTATCTTCGAGAGATCAGTGAAGAACTGCAGATCAGTAAGGTCTTTGCTGCCGCCGCCTTTGAACGAATCTGCGTCTTTGAGGGTAAGCTGAGTTCACTTCAGAGACATATGGAGGAAGTGGATCTAGAAGACTTTCCTGCCTTCAGCATCATCGTTGATGAGCTTAGACAGCAGTTTAAGGAAGATCAAAAAATATTTGATCCTGACAGGTATCAGATGGTGATCTCCCGCCTACAGAAAGATTTCGAGAGACATTTTAAGGACCTCAGGTTCATTAAGAAGGACTTAGAACTTTTTGCAAATCCATTTAGCTTTAAGCCCGAATATGCGCCTATTTCCGTGAGAGTGGAGCTGACAAAACTTCAGTCCAACACTGACCTGTGGAATGAATACAGAGTCAAAGACTTGGGACAGTTTTATGCTGGATTGTCTGCTGAAGCTTACCCAATTATCAAAGGGGTTGCCTATAAGGTGGCATCCTTGTTTGACAGTAACCAAATCTGTGATAAGGCTTTTTCATATTTAACTCGAAACCAACACACACTGAGCCAGCCACTGACCGATGAGCATCTCCAAGCCCTATTTCGAGTTGCCACAACTGAAATGGATCCTCGTTGGGATGATCTTGTGAGAGAAAGAAATGACTCATAAGCCTTTGTAGTACAACAAGATTCAGTTCGAGAAGGAAAAATGAGTTTGATTTTCTTTTCACATTTACTAATTTGGATTGTTGGGAAGCATTGAGCTTCTTACAAGATGTCGAAATTGATAAACACTGAAATCTTTTCTGACAGGTTGCCTTTTCCCCATCTCATTTGGCAACATGGAACTGAAACATAAGAATACCACCTTTAAAAAACTTAGTTTAATAGAAATGTCATTGCCTTTTACTTTTATGTTATAACTGATTTTCAACAAGTTTAGTATTGATATTGTAAGTTGAACTAGAAGTCTGGTTTTAAGATGTTCTGGAGATACATGCCAAAAGTTTCAGCTCTTATTTTGACACAGTGTAAAAAGTGTGATACATGGTTTGAAATGACCAACTCCTTAAAAGTGTATTTGAGTCAGTTTACAGAAACTCACACAGCAAATTAAGTTTCTGAAAAGAAACATATACACAGTGGAGGTATTTTGTCAAGCTAACAGAATTTAGGATTATTTTTGAAAGCATATTTCTGAGCCTGAAGTAAATCCTGGCAGAGTTTCATCCCCCAGCCCCACCTACCCAGTTGATGGTGATGTTACAGATGGAGCAGCAAGAATTACTTTAAGGTTTTGATTGGGGAGGCCTCTTACTATCAGGAATTAAGAATAAATGCTTTTTGGAGGTTTGCTCCTTATTTTTTTCACAACTAGGGGCAGTTTTTTCAGCTCGTCTATCAAAGGACCATGGTAAGTATGGAATCTTAACCATTGCCAGTCAGTAATTCTTTTTTCTACTCTTGACAGAACTGTGGTCCTATCAAAACAGTGGGGGGTTAGGGGGCTTTTACACTTCAGGATCAGGAGTTATGAGAGGTTTTAGCTTATTTGTCTTTTCTGCATGGCTATTAATGTTTTATAAAGAAACTGTGCTTAAGGGAGACACTTTATTTTGAAATGACAAGTGTCAGATTTTGTTAGCTGCTGAAAATGGATTTACTCTAGAACTGTTTTCCACATTGAATAGTTAAGACAGTATACAGTAATATTTAAATCTGAAGAAGCAGCCTTATCCACAGACTGTAACACTTCCTATTCCTAGAGACGTTGATTTTGTGCTATCACGTTATCAGACATGTTAACTGTGAAAACGTCAACCTTAACGGTAAAGCTCAGCACTGTAAGCCTGGTGGAAAAGCAGCACCCGATTTGTAACCCATCCTCAAGTACAGTTGAAAAGCTATCGTGCTCCTTTCTGTCTTAAAGACTGGAGCACATTATCTCCTGCTACATTCAAGGAACCCGATTACAACCAAGAATTTAGAAGGAACGGATGCCTAAGCCACCCGAGCCTAAGAACCCAAGTCAGATCATTGGTTCTCAACCAAAGCCCTTCCTTCCAGAGTGTGCTGCTGGTAAGCGCCTAGGGCACCTTTGTGATTATCTTACTTACTGGAGGGTTCTGCTGGCATGTAAGCTTAAAGATTTCTCTCTCCTGTGGTGTTCAGTACAGCCTGATACCATGAAGAGTCATCCCTCCCGAAGTGCCAGCATGCTCTCCCACCAAGTATACATTATCTTATGTCAAGGGACAGGGAGAATCTCCAGTAGAAGCTGATGGCATACTTGATAGGGAAGCCTAATTCCAGCGGTTCAGAGAGGAAACCAAGTATCAGATTGACATTTTGCTTATCCAAGAATAAGCTTAAATGCCTGAAAAACAGAAGGACTCTACTGGTAATTTCCCAGTAGCTTTGTGTATTACCTTTTACAGCAAATACTTCAAATACTTTTATTATTTGAGAGAATGATCGGAAATCCTGAAAGCTGCTTCTACTTTCTGTTCCTAGTCCTCTAAATATTAATATCTTGTGTATTCTATCAAGTTGTCGTGCTTTGCTTAAGGTGATAATAAAATTAGTTTGCATCATGTAGCCACTGTGTGAGTATGGGGAAGATAGTAATAAGCTAAGGAATTTTTTTTTAATTGACCCTCAGCAATAGAGAATTTGCTGTAACTAGTCTTCGGTTTTTCTGTTTGTTTGTTTAAGGCAGTGGTTCTCAACCTTCCTAATAATGTGGCCCTTTAATACAGTTCATGTTGTGCTGACCCCCCGACCATAAGATTATTTCGTTGCTACTTCTTAAATGTAATTTTGCTACTGTTATGAGTCATAATGTAAATATCTGATATGTGACCCAAAGGAATCATGACCCACAGGTTGAGAACCGCTTGTTAAGGTGTTTTGCTGTTTTCTGTATTAAATAACTAGCTGCATGGCAGTCTTTTTTCTTTCCTTTTTCCTTTTTAGATATATAGTTGTTACTGGTCCTGTGGTATCAGTGAATATAGTTAAAATAAGTGCCATTTAAAAAACAACTCCTCTGTGTCCTTAACTGTTCCTTCCCCATTTGCTTGCCCAGTCTCCCATATTGCCAGTCAAATCACTCAACTTCAGTATCTTTGTCAGTGTTTTTCCTCCTTGAAATCATCCTAGCATTGCAGAGACACCAGCTCCTGGTGTATTCAATCATTACAGGCACCTCTTTAAGTCTGAATGAGTATGTCTGTCGGTTGCTTTCTTTGCTTTTTTTTTTAGGCTGCCTAATCTGCCTTGCCTCATTTCCCTACATTAACTCCGTAGTTGATCTCATCTCTTTCTGTGGCTTCAGTTACCACCTGTATTGCAGATATTTCCAAATTCTTATCTCCTGAAGATTTCCCCCTAAATCCTAGTTGCTAGTATCACTGACACACTGCTCTCTCACAGGCCTCCCACCACATCTTAGCTCTTTCTCCCAAACCTGCTCTCTCTCATTTTCCTGTCAGCAGATGGCCTTGCAGTTAGTTGTCAGTCAGTTGCCCTCACCCAAGCCCCAAACTCAATCAACCTACTCATATTGCTCAATGGCTTTCACCGTTGCTGTCAGAATAGACAGGTTATAAACTTGTTCATCTTGCAGATTTTGGTTTATATATCTAAGGAGCTTCAGTGGTGCCCTCCAGGCCAGGTACCCATCTACGCTTGCTAAGTACCCTTGTCCTTCCTCCTTAGCATTTCTTACTGCAGATTGGTCGTTGCTAGACTGCAACAGAAGTCTAACCCATTGTTTCATCTCTAATGAATAGTTCAAAGCCTGGCATTTGAAGAAATGTTGGGGCAAATAAATACTTGTATGGTTTTTTATGACCTTTGAAACCTTCAAAATCTTCATTTGAGCTTCATAGACATCCTGCTTGTTCATTGAATAGCTCTTAGCCATGTATTGCAAATTAAGAAATGAAACTCACCTTATTTGTGACTAGGGACCTCATTGTTGTGTTTCTTGAATTTAGTGCAGTGCTTAGCATGTGGTTCAAATATTATGTGAATGTTGTTAAGAAAACAGATTGTAATTTACCCTAGTAAATTAGTAGTAACGTCAAGAGTCAAACCTCGGTGTACTCACAGATCTACTCTGTAGTGTTAAATACATCCATAATATAGTCTTTTTTTTTTTTTTTTTGATTTCCAAAGGAACCTATATACAGAAGGAAAATATGGGTAATTGCTTAGATTGAACTGAGTTCAGTAATCTAAAAATTACCTTCAGTATTGGAGAAAGAAAATGCCACATAAGAGTTAACATCCATTTTTCTTTTTGTAGGCATCAACCCTAGGAGAAAATGTCATGCTATTTAGTAGTTACTTTCCTTTACAAATGATTTCTGGCTCTTCTGGAATTTCAAAGTAAGTAAACTTGTTTATGAGAAGGTTGTCTTAGCCCTTCTGGCTACTAGATCCTCAGCTCATTAATTTTCTTACATGTGGAATGCCCACACCATCTTCCCAAGGGGAAAAGCCCCAGATGAGGTCCAGTTAACATGCTTTTCGATTTGCTGTATTTCTTTGCTCTCTTGTTTCATGCCTCTGTGAACTTCATTTCTAAGTAACTGGGACTTTTCAGTCTTAAGTCAGAAAACCAGACCCCGAGTCTCTTTCATGAAGCCATTTTGCCCAATTTAAAAGATGAACTAGCGTCATTCTCTTAATTGAACTTACAGTTTTAGGAAGTCACATAAATTAATTCACTCTGAGGTCTTGGTAGTAGGAATGACAGTTATCCAGAGATTTGATCCTTGTTGTAAAACTAGGTTTTCATCAATCTTAGGGTTAGATTTTCTCATTTTTATCTCATATTTGAATAATTGCCTCATCCTACTCTGTAAGTACTTTATAATCTTTAATTTATGCTTGAAACTGACCAAGTACTGAGTTCATGTCCTATACATTTTGTCAAATGCAGCCAACAGCCACCACAAGATAATTTTTTCTTCTTTAATACAGGGTAGATGTTCTGTCTCCCAGTGCATCTCAAGGGGCACTTTTGCCTCTCCATAATATAAACTGCCCCTTTGTAATTCTTCTTTTTCTATCTTCCAGTTGCAATCTTCCTGAATGCCTCCCAACTAATCACTAAGCAACATGTTTAGTATTTTAGTTCTGCATCAGGATTGGTAAGGTTGTTATGAGGTGAATAACTGCAGTTTAATATCTCCACAAGTTTCTGTAGCAAGCTGTCTAGGACTTCGTGTAGGTGAGGGGCTTGCAGACTACAGCCTGCAGGCCAAGGCTGTCCTGGTTCATCCTCTGAAGGAAGTGTGGGGGTATAGCCATGTCTGTCTAGGAACTGTCATGGCTGCCTCCCTCTGCAGTTGCAGAATTGAGTAGTTCTGACACAGTGTGTGTGCAACACAAGCTAAAATACGTTATGGAAAAGTTGACTAATTCCTGCTTAAAATGCCCCTAGCTTGGGGCTCAGTAGCTACTCACTAGGAGTTGGCTGCTCACTTTGGAGAATGAGAAGAGAAAGTGTGGCAGATAACAGAGGCTCCAAAGCCACAGCCACACCAGAGTTCAAGAAGTGTAATCCCTCCATACAGCTGGAGGAAAACGAACTATCTGGAAGATAACACTACTGATTATTGTGGTTCTGTTCCCCTAGTTAACATCATTTTAAGTATGTCTGTTTTCATTGAGATAAAAGTTTACAAATATTAAGTGTCCACCTCAGTGGATTTTTATATTCACCTGTAAATGCACCACCAGATCAAGGTAGAAAATAGTTCTGTTATTCCAGTAGGTGCCCTTTGCCTTTTGCACAGACAGATAGTTGCTGGTCTGACCTTCCTTGCCTGTCAGTTTTGCCTGTTTGAAAACTATACCAAGTGTAATTATATACACTGTTTTGTATCTTCTGTTCTTTCTGTGTCTGCTCTAGTAATCCATGTTGTGGATTGTAACAGTTCATTTTTCACCTCTGTGTCATAGTCGGTTCATTGTACCAGTTTATCCATTCAGTGTTGAATATTTGGATTGTTTCCAGTTTGTGGTCAGTATAAATAAAATTGCTATTAAAGCCTTGTGTCTATCTTTTAGTGAACGTGTGTTACTTCTACTGTGGGTGTATTCCTTGGCAGATAACCTTGCTTCTGTTACTTTTTACAGGTTATTTTCTACAAAGCAGAGTGATCCTTACTTTCAAATCTATCAGATAACGCCACTTTTCTACTCAGAAACCTCTAATGGCTTGGTATCACAGAATGGAAGCTGAAGTCAGACAGTTCCTACATGATCTGTAGCCACACGTACCTTCTCCTTGCTGTCTCTTCTCTTCTAACATTTTGTCTTTACTCCCCTCTCCCCCTCCTTACTCTACTCTGGACTGAAGGCTGTGCTTATGAATTGGAGAGGGAGGTCAGTGTTTTGTAGTCTGAGTAGCTGTTTGTTGTTTTGCGGGTTTGAGCTTGCCGTTGGTTTTGTTTTTAGGCTGAGGATGGAATCCAGGGCCTTAAGCATGTGAAGCATATGCTCTTCCAGGACACGAATTCCACTGGCTTTGACAGAAGGTATAACACTGCCTTATGATGTGTTAAGTATTCCACTGAGCACTGTGCCTAACTCTTAAAAGGTATTTAGATACTAAAACACAAAACCAGATTTCAGAAATGTGTTATGATTAGAGTTTGTCAATGTAATGATGTTACTGTTAATAGTTCATGTCCCTGGGGGCTAAGTGGGTCCTCGGAGCTAGGGTCGAGGAGTTAGGAAGGCAGTGGGATAAAGAAGTATTTGTATTAAGTCTAAAATAGCACAGCTGTAAGGGACTTCTTTAGGTGTGCCATTGATGGTACGTTCTTAGTGGTTATAAAATAAGAGTTTAGATCCTGGGGCTGGACAAGGCCCAGCAGGAAAGAGCTCCTACTGCTCCTTCAGAGGACCATAGTTTGGTTCCTGGGTCCCAGCAAACACGTCAGGTGTTTCACATGTACCTGGAACTCAGCTCCAAGAGATCTGATGTTCTCTTCTGTCCTCCATGGTCATCATACACGTAACATGTACATTTTAAAAAAGGATTTTTAAGCTACACATCTTTTTATAACTATTGTACAATTGAAGTGTTAGAAACTTGACATATTTAAAGAATTAAATTTAGATTTGACCAACATCAGGCCATGAGACCATGAAAAAGTAAGAAACATTCTTAAAAGTTTACTTAGTGTCAGCTAATAAGGGGAAAATAAGGACGTGTTGAAAGGCAACGTCACAGTTCAGACTTACAACTAATTACCATTGACTGGGGTCTTAAGTAACGTTTGTTGTAGCTCTGAAAACTCAAAAGTTCAAGAAGGTCTTCAGATCCACTCTGGTGACAAGCTTCTGCTGAGTTATGAGCTATCTTGTGTCCTCATAGAGTGGAGAGCCTTTCCTTGTCTGTACCAACCACGTTCTCACAACATACCTCCAACTCTTGCAGTACTGTCACATTTCAGCATAAGAGTTTAGTGGGTTGGGGGCTGGTAAAGTGTGTAGATGCTTACACATTAAAAAGAAAAAAAGGCAGGTGGTGGTGGCACACACTTTTATTTATTTATTTATTTATTTTTGGTTTTTCGAGACAGGGTTTCTCTGTGTAGCTTTGCGCCTTTCCTGGGACTCACTTGGTAGCCCAGGCTGGCCTCGAACTCACAGAGATCCGCCTGGCTCTGCCTCCCGAGTGCTGGAATTAAAGGCGTGCGCCACCACCGCCTGGCGGCACACACTTTTAATACCAGCACTTGGGAACCAGAGGCAGGTAGACCTCTAAGTTTGAAATCAGCCTGGTCTACAGAATGAGTTCCAGGACAGCCAAGGCCATGCAGAAACTCTGTCTCGAAAAACCAAAATAATATAATAAATAATAAATATAAAAACTACCCTTTGTGTGATAAACTATGGTGAGGGTTATTTTCTGGCCCAAACACTGTGGCCTTTCTCTGCTGCTCCTTTAAGGTGAGTGTGTAACTCTTGTCCCCTCCCCTGAACATGAGCAGGAGGACTGGCCATCTTTCATCCAGCCTAGACAGCCCATAGAATACTTCCAAAACACCGTTCTTAGTGGCAGTTTGAATAGCTAGCTCTTCATCCCTGCTCTTAGTTACTACAGAGGAGGCACACCCTTCTCTGCCTGCTACCCAGAGTATTAATTGTTACAGTTTGAGGGTGAGCACCTGAGAGTCATCTCTTGGGCACCTTTGGAAAGAGATTTTTCTTTTTTAAAATGAATTAAGGGACTGGAGGGATGATTTAGGGATTAAGAGGACTGGATTTGCTTCCCCACCCCCATATTGGGCAGCTCACAACCTTCTGTAACTATAGCTCCTGGGGATCCAGTGTCGTCATCTGGCCTCTGAGGGTACACAAATACACATGTGGCAGACACCCCCCCCACACACAAATACACATGTGGCAGACACCCCCCCACACACAAATACACATGTGGCAGACACTGCACACACACACATACACACACACACACACACAAACACACGTGGCAGACAACTTCCCCACACACAAATACACATGTGGCAGACACCAAAGAGAGAGAATCAAAATCTTTTTAAAAATGAATCAAGATTATACCAAGTAGGATAGATGCTGTTTTTAAAAATGAGGGCTGGGGAGATGGCTCAGTGAGTAAAAGCCTAGATGGGTACGATTGAGTTTGGATCCCCAGTGTACGTGTAAAGCTGTTCACGAACGCTGAGGTATAAGATTTATTAACTGGCTGCTGTTCATGTCTCATGAGCATGTTTGTCACAAACGGGAACGAGCAGATCACTGCTGACCAGTGCGACCTTCAGCCAGTGTCACGGGAAACGCCTTACGCTTCCTACGGCTTGACAGCATCACACAGGAGGGAGAGCGAGATTGGAAAGGTTGCCTGGTGAACAGCAGGTCTTAGTGTTACCTTTGGTATCAGATCTGGTTTCCCTGGCAACTGAGGTCCACTTAATGAGTAGCTCCAGGCAGCAGACACGAACTTATCCATAGCAACAGCACATAAGGAAGTCCTTAGCAAATAGTATTTCATTTTGGTCTGTGTAAACAAGTCTCTGGGTGAATTTTTTTTTAGAAAATATCAGAGTGCTGAAAGAGATAATAAAAGGCCTGGGTGTCCTTATGCCTGCTTCAATGTGCCCTAATAAAAACCACTCAGTATTTTCTTACATTAACATTTTTTTGGCTTCACATGTATATCTGTATATTGTGAATTATGTTTTAAATTAAAAAAATAGGTTTGGTTGTGTTTTTTAACATTTACTAGGGTTATTTACTGTGTGTGGATGCACATGTAGGGAGGGTCAGAGGACAACTTGTGGAAGTCGTTTCTCTTCTTCCATCATGTGGGTGCCAGCGATCAAACTCAGTTTGTTAGGCTCAGCAGCAAGCGCCTTTAGCCCCTAAGCCATCTGGCCAGCCTGCCGAGTCTTAGTTTATCAGTCCTATGCCCAGTTGCCTGTTCTGATCATTCAGTATCCATCTCTTCCTTCTTCTTACAGACTCGTTTTCGTAGTCATGTCATTGAGTTTTCTTCCTATTAGTCACTTTACAGATTTAGATTTTATTCTGAAATGACTTAATTTTTTATTCTATCAATTTTCATCAGTGTGTCTTGGGTTTCCTCATATCCTTGCCTCCTCCATCTCTCCTTCCACATCTGCTTTTTAGTTTCTGTGAACTCTGATTTAAATTATTTATTTATTCTTGTGGATATGGGTATTTTGCCTACAGATAAGTCTGGGCACCCTGTGTGTCTGGTGCTCACAGAGGCCAAGAGAGGGCATCAGATCCCCTGGAACTGTGGTTACAGATAGTTACGAGCCACCATGTTGGTGCTGGGAATAAAATCTGGGTCCTTTGGAAGAGCAGCCAGTGTTTTTTAACTGCTGAGCCATCTCTTCAGCCCTTTCTTTTTGTTTTCTAACTTTATTTTTTGAAACAAGTTCTCACAATGTAACTTTGACTGGCCTGAAACTTGATATGTAGAGCAGGCTAGCCTTGAACTCACAACATTCCACCTGCCTCTACCTCCTGAGGGGTAGGTAGAGGTATTCACCACCACACCGACATGGCTCTCCTGTATTCCTAATGCCTTGGCTCTGGACTGCTCAGGGTGCAGTGCAGAGAACTGAAAAGCGTGGCTTGTGGGGTGGGTCAGTGGGTAAGGGTGCTTGCTGCAAAGGCTGAAGACCCGAGTTCAATCCCTGGGACCCACACAGTGGAAGAAGAGAATGGACTTTGACAAATTGTTCTCTGACCTCCACATGTCACATACCTGCCCCTACACATGAAATAAAGAACTACAAAGAGTTATCTAAATAAATCCACAACTACTGGAAAATGGTTTTTATTTCCCCGTGCTACCACCACAGCTCAGATCCAGCCACAAATACTGCACGCTGGCATTCCAGTTTCTTTCCCATGATTAACAGGGCTGGTTCTGCTACCTCTTTGATGTTTAGTTAATGGATTCTGTTGTGTGCTATTTTGTTTGTGTTCTGACAAATAAAGCTTGCCTGGAGAGCAGAGGGTGGAGCTAGCCACTAGTTAGCCATAGAGGCTGGGTGGTGGAGGCTCACACCTTTAATCCCAGCACAGTCAGGAGGTGGAGGCGGAAATATAAGGCGAGTGGAGACAGGATCCCGGCCTGCTTTTGGTCTGAGGATACAGAGAGGTAAGAAGTGACTGTGGCTACTTCTTTGCTTCTCTGATCTTTCAGCTTTACCCCGATATCCGATTCCTGGTTTTTATTGATAAGATTAATTAGGATCACATTTCAGGGTTCACTAATTTTGGTTTCAAGCCATACTTATTGTCAGCACACTATCTCTGCATCTTAAGTTTCATCTCCTTTGCTTGGTAGCAGGCCACTCTTGTGTAAACTAGAGATGGTCCTGCCACTGCTTCCTGAGAGCTGGAATTGAAGGCATGCCCCACCACACTCAGCCTACATTTTAAAGTTATATTGATTTGTTTGTGTGTGGGGGCACATTTGTGTCATGGTATGTGGTATGTCATGGCAGGAGGTCAGAGAACAACCTCCCCGGA